CCGCCTCCCTCATCCCTCCTCCCTCCTTCCTCTTCCTCTTCCTACTTCTCCTCCTCCTCCCGCCTCCCTCTTCTCGCCTGGCTGTTCCTCCCCTCCCTGACGGGCGTGGCCGGGGGCGGGCGGGGAGGCGGCCGCGCGTCCGCCCGGGGGGGGGGGGGCCTCTGGAGGGTTCACCTCTTCGAACTTCGCTGCCGCGAGCAGGGCGGACACGCCTACCAGCTGCAGGTGCTGCATCATCACCTGAGGATTCGAAGGGAAAGGACCAGGGGGGAGGAAGGAAGGAAGAGGGGAAACGGGGAAGGCCATATCTCCCTCTTCACCCCCTCTTCTTTCCCCTCCCCTCCCATCCCCTCCTTCCCCATGCAAGACGTCGCAAGGCCGTCGTGCGTGAAACCAGTTTCGCTTCGCTTCCTTCGGGCAGGTGGACATAGGGACTGACCCACATGGGCGGTGGAGAAAAACCCAAATGAGCCCTTTGGGGCCTCTTTTGGAGCCAGCAGAGGCCCGAAAAGGGCCCCAACGGGCCCCCTTCGGGCCCCTGGTCTTCACCCCCCACTCGGGTCACCCCCCCTTTACCATCCGCCCGAAGGAAGCGAAGCAAAAACGGTCTTACGCACGACGGCCTGGCGACATCCTGCCGCGGCCGCTCGCGCGGAGCTGGCGGCGCGGCGTGCCGTGCGGAAGCGGGGGCACCCTGCCCGTGGCCTCACCTGGGTAGCTTGCGCGCGAATGTCGGCGCAGCCGACCCCCCGTTTGTTTGGTCGATCACCTGCGAGCCCAGACCCCCGTCACGAAAAAGCGCGAAGGTCTAGATGTATGTTGCTCCCATCCTACTTAAAGACCACATCCCAGAAATAATTTCGAGCACCCTGCAAAGTGTCAAAAGAGTGTCGAAACAGTGTCGAAACAGTGTCGGGCGAGTGTCTCCCAGGGTCCGAAACGGGAAAACCTTGAGTGTTGGATACTTTTCTGGCGCTCGAAATTCTTTCTGGTGATCAAGGCTAAAGTAGGTTGGAACATCATAAGTCTAGATGTTGAACGCTGTTCGGCACGTCTTGGATCTCAGGGGGAGTCGTAGTCGCCACGGTTGGATCCCTCTCGAAAGTCTGGCCAGAACACATCGAAGGATCAGCCAGGGGTTCGAGGTTCAAGAATCGAGGTGCAAGATTTCGCAACGTTTTCTGGCCCTTCCCAACATCTTGCTGAGCAGCGCCAGGGCAGGGCGAGGCTGGGGAGGAAGAGATCTAGCAGGGGTGGAGCGAGGGAGGAGAGCAAGGCCGGGAGAGAAGGGCAGGGCACGGCGCGACTGCGGCGGAGGGACAGATAGGAGAGGCGCGGGACGGGGACGGACAGGAAAGGAGGGGCGGGCGGGACGGGACGGGATACAGTAGGCCCGTCCACAAGAAACCTTCCACATGAAACCCAACCCTGCGACCCACGGACGTCCCTCGATTATTTTGGTGCGGGAGCTTCACGCCTTCCACAACAAAGCCATCGAAACCCAAGAAACGCAGGGCACCCTGGAGGCAAGCAGGGTGTTTCTTGGCATGGGCCCCCACTGCAGGACGCAGCGGACGGACACGAGGGGGCCCAAGAACACTCGGGGGCGGCAAAGAGGGGGGCGTCCAAGAGGGGGGGGGGTGCAAATCATGGCCGGCGGCATGTGCGCGGCCCAGACGGGGGGCTGGGGACGTATTAAAACAAAAAGAGGCGCCATGAAATCTGTGGAAATATCATGGCTCCCATCATGATATCCACACACCCCTAGTCATCACCCCCCTCTTTGCCGCCCCCGAAACACGCGAAGAAGTAGACACGAGTCCCGGGATTCCCCGATCTCCCATACTTTTTCTGGAGGCTCGTCTTCCCCGCCCGCTTCACCCAGGTTCCAGATGTTCCTGGGCATCGGCGATTCTTTGCGTCTGCGTTCTGCTCCTGCGGACAGACTGAGCAGGGGGTGGGACAAGGGCACAGATCGGCGGCGAGCCCCGGGGGGCAGGCACGAGGGGGCGGGTCCTCTCAAGAGTCTCGGAAGGCAGAAGGGCCTCTGGGAAGCCCCGCCGCCTTCTGAGAAGGCCTGCCCCCTTTCACTTCCCCCGCTGGGGCGCGGCCGAACAGACGCAGGACGGATAGGCACACCAGACGGACCAACGGACGACTGGACGGACGCCCGCATGGGCAGCACTGGACACGGGGCAGCACTGGACACGGGGTATGGACCGATTTCCCAGGGCCAGCTCGTCATCCTGAGTTGTCTCCTGACGACCCTGGGGCCCGGTACTACTACTACTACTACTACTACTACTACTACTACTACTACTACTACTACTACTACTACTACTACTACTACTACTACTACTACTACTACTACTACTACTACTACTACTACTACTACTACTACTACTACTACTACTACTACTACTACTACTACTACTACTACTACTACTACTACTACTACTACTACGACTACTACGACTACTACTACGACTACTACGACTACGACTACTACGACTACGACTACGACTACGACTACTACGACTACGACTACGACTACTACTACTACTACTACTACTACTACTACTACGACTACTACTACTACTACTACTACTACTACTACTACTACTACTATACTACTACTACTGTACTGACTACTACTACTATACTACTACTACTACTACTACTACTACTACTACTACTACTACTACGACTACTACTACTACTACTACTACTACTACTACTACTACTACTACTACTACTACTACTACTACTACTACTACTACTACTACTACTACTACTACTACTACTACTACTACTACTACTACTACTACTACTACTACTACTACTACTACTACTACTACTACTACGACTACTACTACTACTACTACTACTACTACTACTACTACTACTACTACTACTACTATACTACTACTACTACTACTACTACTACTACTACTACTACTACTACTACTACTACTACTACTACTAGCAACAACAACAAACATGTTCAGACTGTTCGTTCCTATCTGCTCACGTGCCAGTCAATACGTATATCCCAAACCCTCGGTACCCGCCCTCGTGGTCTTCGATCGTACCCCCTTGGGGGTATATCTTCCTTACCTGCCACGTGCATTTAGTGCAGTTCCTCAAACAAGGGAAGAGAGGACGGGGGGAAGTGGGAGGGAGAAGAATGGAGCACAAGAGAAATTAGCAGGAGGGGGGCAAGGAGCAGAAAACAAGTGGTAGAACTAGACGGGCAGATCGGGTGGGCAGACCCATAGCGGGCAGGCCGGGAAGGCGGGCCCAGGCGACGAGGTCGAGCAGGCGGGTTGCTGAAGCGTGGGTCCTGCATAAATCATGAAAAAGTCTCGAGCGATAGCGCGACTCCCAAGTAAATCGTGAGAAAAGCCAGGGTGGGCCACAAAGGGCATTAAATCCGAGGCCACAGAGGGCAGCGACGGGGCCACTGAGGGCAGCAAAGGGGCCACGAAGGGCAGCCAGGGGGCCACGAAGGGCGACAGCGGGCCACCGAGGGCAGCAACGGGGCCACGAAGGGCAGCGAGCGAAGGCGGGCGAAGAGGGCGAGCAGCGACTGCACTCATTGACGGGCTGGTCGGGCGGGCAGGCCCCGACGGGCGAGTCGTTGAAGCATGAGTCCTGCTTGAACCGCCAAGCAATATGCAGCGGGAGCGCGATTCCTGAGCGTCGAGGACCGGCATCTGAATATATAGCGAAGACATATCAAGCGAAGCGGTTCGCTGGTAAGTTGCGAGGAGGTCCCAAGCGAACACGCGAGTTCTGCAATCAGTTGTCAGGAAGTAACAGGCGGGAGCCGCGATTCGGTGGTAAATTGCCAGAAAGTCCCAAGCGAAAGCGCGATTCTTCAACAAATTGTCACGAAGCATCAGGCGGGAACCGCTGTTGTTGTAAACCGGGGGCCAACGACGCAGTTTGAGCCTCAAGACTTCCCCTGATGAAAGACAGGGTGCGAACCCCAGGAGGGGCACTCCAATTAAAAATACAATGTGTACTGGGCGGGGGGGACCAACAATATTTTTTCTTCAGAAATGATAGCTCAATCACAACAACACCAACAACAACAACAATCATTTTAAGACTGTTCGCCCTTATCTGCTCGAGTGTCAGAATAACGCCTATTCCCCAAACCCTCGATACCCGCCCTCTTCGTTTTCGATCGAACCCCCTTGGGGGGGTATTACCTTTCTTCCCTGCAGGCCGGGCCCGGCAAGCGGCGGGGCGGCCGCGGACCGTCGGCCTGGCCAGCGGCAGCGCTGATCGGCGGGGCGGCCGCGGACCGTCGACCCGACCCCAAGAGGGACGGACAGGGGACCGACCACGACGACGACGACGACGACGACGTCGACGACGACGGCGACGACGACGACGACGACGGCGACGACGACGACGACGAGCGAAACCGAGAGCGAAAGAGAACGACAGCAGGGCCACAAGGACACAAAGTAGGCCACGAAGGGCAACAGCGGGGACACGAAGGGAATGCGTATGGGGCCACGAAGAGCGCGAAGGAGCGGGGGCCACGAAGGGCATAATGCGGGGCCACAGAAGGCAACGATGGGGCCACTGAGGGTAGCAACTGGGCCACGTAGGACAGATGCATATGGGGCCACCACGGGCGCAAAGGGGCGGGGGCCACGAAGGGCATACATATATGTGGCCACGAAGGGCAGCGAGGGGGCCATGAAGGGATGCAACGGGGGCACAAAGGGCAGCGAGGGGGCCACGAAGGGCTGCAACGGGGCCACGAAGGGCTGCGACGGGGCCACGAAGGGCAGCGAGGGGGCCACGAAGGACTGCAGCGGGGCCACGAAGGGCAGCGAGGAGGCCACGAGGGGCTGCAACGGGGCCACGAAGGGCAGCGACGGGGCCACGAAGGGCTGCAACGGGGCCGCGAAACAAAGCGAGGGGGCCACGAAGGGCTGCAACGGGGCCACGAAGGGCAGCGAGATCCCGATTCCTATGTAATATGTGAGGGAGTCCTACGCGTGAGCGCGACTCCTGGTGCCTGGGTGTTGGGAGCGCGGCGCTTGAGTAAATTGCAAGAAATTCCAACGCAAAGGCGCTATCCTTCAGTAAATTGCAAGCAAGTCTCCAGCGAGAGCGCGATTCCAGAGCGCCGGGAGAATAAATTCTTAGGAAGTCCCAAGCAAGAGCGCGATTCCTGAATAAAACGCGAGGAAGTCTCGGGTGGGAGCGGGGGTCCTCGCTAAATTGTAAGGAAGTCTTAGTCTAAATTGTTGTTGTTGTTGTTGTTGTAAACCGGGGGCCAACGACACAGTTTGACTCTCAAGACTTTCCCTGATAAAAAACACGGTGCGAGCCTGGGGAAGGGCACTTCAATCAAAAAAAGATGTGCACCGGACGGGGAGGTCAACAATAATTGTTCCTCAGAAATGAGAGCTCAACAACAACAACAATCACGACAACAACAACAACAAGAAGACAACAACAACAACAACTATAACAACAACAACAACAACAACAACAACAACAACAACAACAACAACAACAACAACAACAACAACAACAATAATAACAGCGACAACAACAGTAACAACAACAACAGCATCAACAATAACAACACCTACAACACCAACAACAACGACAACAACAACAAGCACAACCAACAACAACAACAATAACAACAACAACAACAACAACAACAACAACAACAACAACAACAACAACAACAGCAGCAGCAGCAACAACAACAACCATAACAACAACAACCACAACCAACAACAGCAACAATAATTGCGACAACAACAATAACAATAACAATAAACAACAACAACAACAACAACAACAACAACAACAACAACAACAACAACAACAACCACAACAACAACAACAATCACAACAACAAGAACAACTACAACAGCAGCAGCAACAGCAACCACAACAACAACAACTACAACAACAACAACAACCACAACAACCACAACAACAACAACAACAACAACAACAACGACGACGACGACGACGACGACGACGACGACGACGACGACGACGACGATAACAAAAACAGCAGCAGCAGCAACAACAATAGCCTCGAGTTTCTCGAGACGTTGGAGGTCTGAACACAGGAGAACAGCACGGGCAGGAGAGCCCATAATCGAATCGATACGTCGGATCGGCGATCGAAGTGAATCGGATCGGCGGAAATCGGCAGCCAAGTCGGGAGAAGACGACTCGGCGGAAATCGGCAGGCTAATAATGCCTCCATTTTAGAAACCGAAATCCAAGTCGAAATCGGAAGTCGCATCGGGTAGGAATCGGAACCGAAATCGAAACCGAATCGACTCGAACCGGAGGAATCGGAATGAGACCCTGGGCCCCCCGCCCTGTTCCAAGCTGCCCTCCTCCGCCTCTCCCTCATCCACCCCCCCTCCTCCCCACCCCCCCCCTCCCTCCCTCCTCTTCCTCCCCCCGCCCTCCTCCCCCTTGCCCCCCCCCCCAAATCCTCCATCCTCCCACTCTCGCTCCCCCAGCGGGAGGGCCTCCACGCAGCACAGATAGCGGTCCACCAGGTTCACCTGCCCCAAGGGCTCTCTCGCGCGGAGGCCGCGCCGGCGACGCGCCCACTGGGCCCCGTGCCGCCTCCCGTACCCATAGGGGAACAAGCAATGACACAAACATCAGTGCCTGTTCCCCGACCACTCCTCCCCCTCACATCCTCCAGTCACGATCCAGAGACCCCCTGGGAGGGGGGAAGACCCCTTCAAGGCACCAGCAGACTCGCACCAGCTGCGTCTACAGTGGAGGCCCATGCCAACAAACACCCTGCTTGCCTCCAGGGTGCCCTGGGTTTCATGGGTCTCGATGGCTCTGCGATGGAAAACGTGACGTTCCCACACCAAAAATCCATGGACGCCCTGGGGTTCCAGGGCTGGGCTGCTTGTGGAAGGTTTCTTGTGGACTGGCCTCCACTGTGCACAGTGATTCTGACACGTCCCAGCAAGCCGAAATGTTGACGACCAGAGCGGGATTGCACCAGGGCTGGACCTAAACGTTGTTTTTCGTTTTGCTTTCGTTCTGTGTTTCGTTTTGCTCTGTCTGTTTCCATGTACCCCCCTGCCAAAACGAAAAAAAAAAAAAACAGCCGAAGCCCAGCAAATCAGCGTTTAGGTCCAGCCCTGGATGGCACAGCGCACCGAGGGCCCCCATGCGTGCGAGCGAGCGCGCACACGCACGGAGCACCCCCGGCACGCCCTGGCTCGGCGCTTCGTACGCTCCAGCCCGCCGGCAGGGGGCGGCCCCTCCGTCCGCCGTCGGGCACGCGCGCCTCGGGCCACGCCGAGTCCGCGCGCTCCGGCTGCCCGTGGCTTGGGCGCCGCGCTCGCCAGGGTCTCGGCGGGCTTCCCCGTCCCCTCCCCTCCCTCGTCTGCTCTCTTCCCACCTTTCCTGCATGCTTCAATCGGCCTCCTCCTCCTCCTCCTCATCCTCCTCCTCTTCCTCCTCCTCCTTCCTCCTCCTCCTCCTCCTCCTCCTCCTCTCTTCCTCCTCCTCCTCCTCCTCCTCCTCCTCCTCCTCCTCCTCCTCTCCTCCTCCTCATCATCATCATCATCATCATCATCATCATCATCATCATCATCATCATCATCATCATCATCATCAGCATCAGCATCATCATCATCATCATCATCATCATCATCATCATCATCATCAGCATCAGCATCAGCATCATCATCATCATCATCATCATCATCATCATCACCATCATCATCATCATCATCATCATCATCATCATCATCATCATCATCATCATCATCATCATCATCATCATCATCATCATCATCATCATCATCATCATCATCATCATCATCAGCATCAGCATCAGCATCAGCATCATCATCATCATCTTCTTTTTTATCTTATTGTTCCTTCGCATCCTCCTCCTACTCCTCCTCATTCAACCTGGGAACAAATTCGCAGGAAGGCGTCCATATACAAGCGGGCGCTCAAAAATAAAGAGCGGCTGAAAGAACAGCTCGAATTCACGTCTAAATATGATGAACAAGGCAGTTCGTGAAAGCGTGTTCGCGTCGAACTGTTGTTGGGAAAATGGAACGGCAGTCCCAGCAGAATCGGCGCTCCTGGAAACTGGGAATTCCAGAGGCTCGTTTGGAGCGAGCTAACTCGCGGGAATTCAGGATCGGGGATCTCAAGGAAGCCGCCGAGACAGCGGAGTCGCTGGCGACGGGATTCGAGGGCAGCGTGATCTTCGCTAAGGGTGCCTTAAAGACAAAAGCGTCGGTGATGGCTTGGGGGGGGGGGGCGAACGCGCAAGCTCACTGTCTGGAAGAAGCCGGGAGAGCAAAACTTAACAAATTTTCGTGGCGAACGACCCAACCATATGCAGGCCTGAGTATCGCAAGGCAAGCGGAACGAAGGAGGCAGAGCTCCCTGTGGGGCCACGGAACACGTTAGGGGTGTGCCAAAGTGAGGAGGGGCCGCCATGCAGGAGCTGCCATTGGGGCCTTCGGTGGAGCTCCCTGTGGGGCCACGAAGCCTGTGAGGGGTGTGCTAAAGTGAGGCGGGGCCGACATGCGGGCGCTTGCACTGGGGCTTTCGGTGGAGCTCTCCGCTGGGCCGAAGAGTGTGGGGGGTGTACTAAAGTGGGGCGGGGCCATGGAGGCTCTGCAAGTAGGGCCTCCTCCTCCTCCTCCTCCTCCTCCTCCTCCTCCTCCTCCTCCTGTGGAGCGCCCATGTGGGACCCCGATACCTGTGAGATGGATGCCAAAAAGGGGGCGGTGCCGCCATGCGGGCGCTTGCACTGGCACATTCGGTGGAGCTCTCTATCGGGCCACGAGACGTCTGAGGGGCGTGCGCGGGGCCGCCATGCGGGCGCTGCCGATGAGGCCATCGGTGGAACTCCCTGTAAGGCCATGAGGCGTATGAGCGCTGTGCCGAAATCGGCATGCGAACGGCTGAGGCAGGGAGAGGAGTAGGAGGAGGAGAAGGAGGAGGAGGAGGAGGGGGAGGGGGAAGAGGAGGAGGAGGAGGAGTGGGGAGTGGGGAGTGGGAAGTGAGGAATGAGGGAGGAGCACAGGGCGCTGTCTCTTCAAAACGAGTACCAACACCATCGGATGGTTGGGAAAAATGAGCCAGCCTTTCTGGGACCACACTGTCGTTCGGTGTGTTTTGCATACTGATGCTTTGCTGTACAGCAGTGCCAGGGTGGGTTTTCAGACGGACCCCCTATGCTGCACACGTTGCCCTCGCAGAAGCCCGAAGTAGCCCCGGGAGGCCCGAAGATGCCCCCAAGATCGCCCAGCCAGGCTAGAGAGAGACGGCGACGAGTTGCCTTCAAAGATGCCGCCAGATGGCCCCCCTGAGGTCACGAGATAGACCCAGAGTGCGACGCACATGGCCTGAGTAAGCTGATACATGCTGGTGCCAGACTTGCGAGATGTTTAGGCGCTGGGTTACGGCCCGACGTTTGCGTGTGGCTCATGAGGCTGATTCGATTGTTCACGCTAAGCTCCTGCTCCTCCTCGTCCTCCTCCTCCTCCGAATCGCACCAGCTTACATCGCTAGCCTCCCTCTGCAGAGCAGGCGGACGGTCGCCGTCAGCCAGAGGGTCTCTCGGCGCATCCCCAGCATCTGACAGAGGCGGGGCAATCCAACCGACAGATAGTTCCAACGCTTCTGATCTGCTCACATCGCTAATGTGCCTCCTATCCAGCTTCATCATCCAACCTCGTCCTCGCCCACACATCACCGCCTCTGCCAGAGACCTTCTGTGCAAACATTCTTCCAACCATCGCCCTCCCTTTCCTTAACATGTACTCTGCAAAGAAGTCACTACTGAAAGAAGAGGGCTGTCGTCGACCTTCGCGCAAATTCGGATAGCCACTGCAAAGCATGGCGGGACGCACTGGTGATTCGTCCCACCAACCCTTTGAGCTGAGGTGGCCTAACGATGTCTGTGTTCCCTCTTCCAGAACCCTCTTCCTTTCGGGGAGGGGTACACTCCCCCTCCCCTCCCTGAGGCTTGTTTGGGAAGGGCGAGGTGGTAGGGGGTCCGTTTTCGCCCAGGATGGCTCCAAGAGGGCCTCCAATGCTCCAAGATGGCCTCTAGGCCGCTCAAGATAGCCGAAAATGGTTCAAGCCTGCTTCCCACATGGCTCCAAGAGTCCTGACCAGGGCCACAAGGCAGCTGTAAGTGCTATCGGAGCCCCCCTCAGGACCCCCACCCAGGAGGCCACAATCCTGTGAGAGAACAGAGTGATGAGCAATAAGTGCTGCCTTCTCGCCTGTTCGCTTCCGTTGCGCTGTGGAGGCCTTAAGAGTGTCCGAAGATGGCCCAAGAGAGACCCAAGAGGGGCCCAACAGGCCCCCCGAAACGGCCCAAAGAGCGCCCAAGATCAGCCCAAGAGCGTCCCAAGAGCGCCCCAAGAGGCTGTTTGATGGCACGGGGGGGGGGAGGGGCAAATTCGGAACTCCCCTTTGATCGCTATCGATGGCCTCTAAGATGGCCCCAAGAGGCCCTCCAGGGCTCCCAAGGGACCCCAAAGAGGGGGGCTCCAAGAGGGCCCCACGAGGGCCCCAAGACCCCTGAAAGAACTCCAAGACAACTCCAAGATCCCCCGAATTAGTCCCAAAAGAGCTCCAGAGGATATTTTGATGGCTCTGCCCTGTCCTCGTTGTCCTCCTCCTCCTCCTCCTCCTCCTCCTCCTCCTCCTTCTCCTCCTCCTCCGCCTGCTCCTCCTTCCCTCGCCACCACGCGGGCCCCCGGGATGACCCGAAGAGGTCTCAAGGCCACTCCCTTCTTGCTCCCGAAGATCTCTCTGTTCACCCTGGTTGCACGCTTTGTTTCACTATCTGTGCGCCGTCATCCCGTATCCCGTCAGTTCTCATGGGCAGGATTTCTGAATAGGCTGGTGGGGATACTTTTTTGGTCTGCGGCCGCGCGACAACGGTCTGGCGGCGAAGGGCGCTGGTGGGGATACGCGAAAAGAAAAAAGTTCAAACCCAGCCACACAGCCCGAGAATGCCAAAAAACGAGTCGACACCCCATCCAGTCTGAAGCCCGTAAGCACAGAGTGGTAAAGCGAGGCCGGCATCCCCAAAAAGGGGAAAGCGCAGAGCTTGGCTGAAGAGGAGGATGGAGCAGGACCTGACTATTCCATGCGTTGCCAGCTTTTGCGCCGACTCCCCAGCAGCGGCCTGCTATGTGCAAGCTTGCCACGAAACTTGCGCCAATCCGCATGTACCTGGCAAAGCCAATCTTGGAGGCAAGAGCAGGTGGGAACGAGGGAGTGGAGCAAAAGCGGTGCGATGCGAGGCGGGGCTCCATGCATAGGCCGATGAGCCAGTCGTTGAGCATAGCTCTCATCTGCGCGTTGATGTGCGGCTGCGTTTGCATGAAATCCCTGGCAGTCCCATGCTGAACTGTTCCGCTGCGTCCTGCCTCTCGATCTCTCTGCAAGCCCAGCAACATCGCTCGACCAACTGAGACACAACAGACACAGGACGCGACGAGCAAGGCGCTTGATCAAAACAACTTCTGGCGAGTGCCACGCAAGGCCAGAGCGCGAGCGAAGGAAGCAGCACTAGGGAAGCAAACACAGGGGCGACCAACGCAGGCCGACATGCACACACATGCACACACACACACACTTCTTTTACGTCGGCGGCGAGGCAGGGGTCGTCTGCGCCAGCGGAATGGCCTAAACGGGGATACCGAACACATACGCACACACACACACAGACACACACACACACACGCACACACACACACACACACTTTTTGCGTCGGCGGCTGGAGACGGTGACTGCTCCAGCGGATTGGCAACAGGGGACACGCCGTATGCGAATTAAAGTCGCCATGCACGGAGGAAGAGGAGGAGCCCCGGCGAGACGGGAGGAGAGGAAGCCGGGCCCACTCGGAGTCGCCGACTGCGGCAGGGCAGCGCCGAGCGGGGGAACCAGCGCTGGCACTGAGCGGCAGATGGGTGAGCAACACGAGCGTACCAAAGACCAGACCCTGCGAACCGCAGGGTGCGGCCTGGGATAGAAGCTGACGCGCCGAGACCTGGGGGCCTGCGAGGCGCGGCAGAACGAGGGCGAGAGCGCCGAGACAAGGGGGGCATACGAGGCGCGGGGCGGGGAGGCGGACACACACACACACACACACACACACACACGCGCGCGCGCGCGCACACAAACATACACACACACACACACACACCACACGCGCACACGCACACGCACACGCACACGCATCCGCAAACGCCGATGGTAACCAAAACATGTCGTGTCCACGGGACCGTCAAGACCACACCGGCCCGTGCGGCCCCTGGGCAGAGCCGTCCATGAGCCAGACCAAAACCAAAGCTGGTATGGAGATTGATGATTCGGTAAATGAACAAAGATGACTAAGACGCCGCTGGAAAGTATGCGCAATGAGGACGCCGAGTCCCGTCCTGGGTCAGCTCCGCAAGGCGAGGCGACGCGGAGGGGGACAAGTCGATCAGACGACTCTGAACGCTTGATTGTAACTGAGCCCCGTGGCGCTCAGCAGGGCCAGAAGAAATCTAGGCTCGCAGCGTGAAACTAGTCGGCTCCAGAAGCAGACGCTCTGACCTATATGGACGCATACCCTAAGGGCCAAGAAAGACTTCGGAATTATGTCAGCTCCGTTCGAGCCTTCTCCCACAAGTCCATCAACGTCGAAATGGTGGAATGCAGGCGTGGAGTCGTCCACCTGAGAGCACCGCACAACTCGTTCAAGACCCTGTGGGCAAATCAGCGATTGACAAGGGGAGGAGAGGGAAAAAGAATTCAATATCCGTTTGTGGGCGACAACAACGCCCATGGACTCGTTCAAGTCGAGAAGAAAAAGTCAATATGATCGAATCCCAGCATGCCCAAGACACGCATCTACGCTCACTGATCTACAGTCGCAGAGCTCTGAGATGAGCAAGTGGAACGTGTGCTTACCAGATTGCGCAACTCACCCATGCTGGGCGGACCCACCTCTGCCTACTTGCCCCTCCCTCCACTCGACTGAAACCACAATGGGTCCGCGCTCTCTAACCTCCACAGGTTGTCAACATGATCCTGTCTTCACTGCTCAGCGCATTCCGATCCTATTGGGCGTGAAGTCCAGCTCCCTGAGCAGCATCTGCTTCAGGTGGTCACCAGCATACTCCTGTCCGCGGTCGAAAAATGTGGGCAGGACAAATTCCTCGCCTTCCAGACCATATTTCTGTGGCCGTGCAATCGCAAACTAGTCGTTCGCAGTGAAGCTCTCGCCTGCACTCGCTGCGCATCTCTGACATCATAGCGAGAGACACGGAGGAGGCGACCGGCTGTCGGGACTGCAGTCGTCAGGGCACCGATCTGCGAAGCGCGGCCACCCTTGAATCTGGGAGTGCTTCCGCCTGTGGCCTGCCCTTCTTCCCCCACAGTGCCGCCAACAGCTACAGCGAGGGCTGAACTCGCGCGGAACGGAGCGGAGCGCCGAACACGTCCCAGAGGACCCACCCATGGGAGCGCGGCGGTAGGGCCGTGGCGTTCGGATGGTGGCGAGGACGTTAGGTGACGAAGTTGTCAGAACAGCTTGACGAAGTTCGTTAGAACAGCTCCAGAACAGCTTGTCGGCGGCGAGCCGGGGGGGGGAAGTGAGAGGGGCGGGCCTTCTCAGAAGGCTCGGAAGGCCTCGGGCCTTCGGATCCCTCCCCGAAGACACTGAAGACTTCTCGAAGGCCGGAGGGCTTCTGAGAAGCCCCGCCGCCTTCCGAGAAGGCCTGCTCCCTATCACTTCCCCCTGGAGCACGCCGCCGAGTCGTGACACGAATGGAGGAGGAGGAGGAGGAGGAGGAGGAGGAGGCGGAGGAGGACGAGGAGGATCGGCTTGAGGCTTTCGGTGGAGCTCTGTGTGGGTAAACGAAACGTGTGAGGGGTGTGCCAAAATGGAGGGGGGCGGCATGCGAACCATGCCTCTGGGGCTTTCGGTGGAGCTCTCTCTGGGGCCACGAAACGTGTTAGGGGTGTGCCCCAAAGTGGGGTGGGGGGGCGGCATGCGAACCATGCCGTTGGGGCCTTTGGTGGAGTTCCCTATGGGGACACGAAACGTGTGAGGGGTGTGCCACAAAGTGAGGAATCTGACGGGATTGCCGAACTGGTTGACCTGCGGAGGACAGAAGCAAGGCCGGGCGGGGGGATAAGCGGGAGGAGGAGAAGGAGACGCGGGGACTGTGTCTTCAAAACGAGAACCCAACACCACAGAACGGTTGGAGAAAAAAAGGAAAAAAACACAACACACATACACACACACACACACACACACACACACACACACACACAAAAAAAAATGTGCGGCAAAATATATGGTAATTTCCTGAAGGCGCGAGCACTTTGTACTGTTTCTTTGCCAGGGGCAGCGTGGGTGCCCGCATACTGCCTGCTGCGCACAGTGCCACCATCACTTGCAAAAAGAAGTGCAAGCTGCACTTCGCGGCTGAACCTGGATCACGCACGGGCACCCCGCGATCACCTTGCAGTGGCTGTTAACAGGGAACGGCGGGGGTACTGGCATGATGCCTCCTGTGTAAAGGCGCACCAGGCACGATGTCCACCCCTCCGCGATTGCACACTGGCTTTCCACAGGAATGGTGAGGGTCGACATGGTTCCCGACGTGCGCGGGCGTACCTGGCACACTCTGCGCGTGCCCCGAACATGGTGCACCTGGCGCTGCTGGAGCATGCGGCGCACTTGGCGCACGCGCAGCACGTGGCGCATCTCGCGCACCAGGCGTGCCTGGCGCGCTCGGGTCCCAGGGACGCCTGGCGCGCCTGCTGCGCACGGCGCGCATGGCACGCGTGGCGCGCATGGCACGCGTGGCGCACCTCGCCCCAGCGTCGCGCACTTAGGGTCTGTATTGGTTCCCAGTAGCTGTCCATCCAAAGACGACCGCTGAATATGCTGAGACTCGGGTACCACTTCTGCGATGGGGAGGGTGGGAATGAGCCCAACAGTTTGCGTCTGGGAGAGGTGTCTTGACCCCTTCCCCACCCCCTCCCTATGGGTCTGGACGGGGGGTCGCAAGCACCCAGAGCGTCCGAGACGGCACAAGAAGGCTCCAAGAGGGCCTCAGAGAGCCCAAGATGGCCTCCAAGATGGTTCAAGATAGCGCAAGATCGCTCAAGACGGCTCCCCCACGCGGAACGTTCAGAATTCGCTGCCTCGTGAAGCGTGAAGCGTGAGCGCGAGACCCCCGAGATCACTGAGCGGCTCCGTCCTCCGACGCGGCCTCGGGCCGCAGCGAAAGGGGGGCCACCCCCCAGAGGCGTGCATTAGGTCGGGCATGTCCTCCTACAGGCGGATTTTGGGCGAAAAATGAAAATTGTCAAAACATATTCAACAACAAAAAACAAAAAAGTCAGTCCCCGACTATTTCCCCAATCAGAGCTTGCCTCTGTAGGGGTCCTAGCAGATTCAAATGGTCAGGTTAGCTGCGGCGCCGATTTGGGCGGCACGTCCGGTTGCCCGCGTGCCCGGGTGCCCCGGTGCCCGGTAAGCCTATAGCCCTATAGCCCGATAGCCCGATAGCCCGATAGCCCTATAGCCCTATAGTCCTACAGCCCTATAGCCCGATAGCCCTATAGCCCTACAGACCTATAGCCCTAATAGCCCTTTAGCCCTACAGCCCTAATAGCCCCATAGCCTAATAGCCCTATAGCCCTAAAGCCCTAAAGCCTTATAGCCCTATAGCCCTGTAGCCCGATAGCCCTATAACCCTGTAGCCATATAGCCCTATAGCCCTATAGCCCTATACGCTTCTAGCCTTACAGCCCCATAGCACTATAGCCCTATAGCCCAATGGCCCCCTAGCCTTACAGCCCTACAGCCCGATGGCCCTACAGCCATACAGCCCCTAAAAAGATTATGATTGGGTTTTTCTCCTGTAGAGGGACAGGCCCGGCTTAAGGCTTGCGCGGTCCTGCGCGGCGCGGTTCCCCGGGACGTCGTGGGCCTGCCAGGTAGCCGCGGCGGCCCGCCGCCCGCGGGTTCAGATGGCGGCGGCGGCGGCATGAGCGCAGGCCGCCGCAGCGGCAGCCAGGCGCAGACGGCAGCACCACCGCCACCACCAGCGCCAGCACCAGTGCCACCACCGCCACCACCACCACCACCACCACCACCAGTGCCACCACCATCATCATCATCATCATCATCATCATCATCATCATCATCATCATCATCATCATCATCATCCTCATCCTCATCCTCATCCTCATCCTCATCCTCATCCTCATCCTCATATCCTCATCCTCATCCTCATCATCATCACCATCATCATCATCATCATCATCATCACCACCACCACCACCATCACCCACCACCACCACCACCATCATCATCATCATCATCATCATCATCATCAGCATCATCATCATCATCATCACCACCACCACCATCATCATCACATCATCATCAGCAGCAGCAGCAGCAGCATCGTCATCATCATCATCATCATCATCATCATCATCATCAGCATCATCATCATCCTCATCCTCATCCTCATCCTCATCATCATCATCATCAGCAGCAGCAGCATCATCATCATCATCATCATCATCATCATCATATCATCATCATCATCATCATCATCATCATCATCATCAGCAGCAGCAGCAGCAGCAGCAGCAGCAGCATCATCATCATCATCATCATCATCATCATCATCATCATCATCATCATCATCATCATCATCACCACCACATCATCATCATCATCATCAGCAGCAGCAGCAGCATCGTCATCATCATCATCATCATCATCATCATCATCATCATCATCATCATCATCATCATCATCATCATCATCATCATCATCATCATCATCATCATCATCTCCATCATCATCATCATCATCATCATCATCACGTCATCACATCATCACATCATCATCATCAGCAGCATCATCATCAACATCATCGTCATCGTCATCACCATCGTCATCGTCATCATCGGCCTTATTATCATCACCACCACCAGCATCATCACTATCATCATCATCGTCATCATCAGCAGCATCATCATCATCACATCATAATCATCATCACCGCCAACATCATCAGAATCATAATCATCATCATCATCATCATCATCATCATCATCATCATCATCATCAGCATCATCAGCATCATCATCATCATCATTATCCACCGCCAGCGCAAGCACCAGTGCCACTTACCGCATCGCCAGCGCCACCGCGGCCACGGCTGCCAGCGCCGTCGCGCGGCCGTGCGCCGTGCGCGGCGTCGGGCTGGAAGGGGCGCATCCCCGTGTCTGTACTTCCTCCGCATCGTCCCTGCTCCGTGCTCCTCGCACTCCTGCGCTTGCGCCCTGCTGCTCCGACCTTCAAACCCTCCTCGTCCTCCCTTTCTTCCTCCAGCCCCAAGTCATGATATGGATGGCCTTCGCGTTCTGTCTCAATCCCACTTGGCCATTACCACAATCATGATGTCGTCCACTACACCACGGCACTGCGTTCTCTAGTGGCCCAAGCATTGCCCCTGCAAATTGGCCCACATGTTTTGCAACGAGTGCTGCAGGTTCGGTCTTCGCCGACTCGTCGGTACCGTCCGAACACGCTCCTGGATGATGCGTTGGCGGCGACTCGAATGAAAAGCGCGGCTTTGGCTGCTGAGTTTTCTCGTTGAGAGAGGTCGCCAATCGTAAAGGGCTCGAGGCACTCACTGAAAACAAGTGGCAGTGGCACGCGAGCCATGCCGCTTTCGCAAGGGGAGGCGAACAGAAACAGTGGCATTGAGGAAAAAGGGGAGAGCAAGAGGACGGAAGGGATGAGAGGCGTGGAAGAATCCCACCAGCGGGCCAATTTCTGACACCACTCACGAGGATCGTGGCCCCCGAGGGGGGAGCTGCATTTAGCACCTCCCTCTCTTGACCGACCGCCTCCAAGATGGCCCCCAGAGGCTCCCCCAGGACTCCCAAGAGGCCCCCAAGAGGGCTCCAAGAGCGCCCAAAGTGGCCCCAAGAGGTACCCGAGAGGCACCCAGGAGGCCCCTGAGCGGCCTCAGAGAGCCCAAGATGACCTCCAAGATGGCTCAAGATAGCCCAAGCTGGCTCAAGATGTCTCCCAAGATGCTCCAAGAGGCCCCAAGACCGCTTCAAGACGGCTCGAGATGGCCACAGAGCCTCCCCAGGAGGCCGCCAAGTGGCCAACAGCCTTTGACTATGCATGACTCTTCCTCTCTCCCCCCGTCAGCTCTCATGGGCATCGTTTCTGGATGGGCGGCTGGTGGGGATACTTTTTTGATCGCGAGCGCATCGGAAGGGCCGAACGCCAACCGAAAGGCGTGTCAAACAAGCTACGGCCTGAATTGTGCAAACAGAGAGAGGGAGAGGAGCACCGAGAGAACAGCAGAAGGAGAGACAAACGAACCATCCTCTGGGTCGCGTGGACTGCGAGGGAAGAAGGAGCGGGGTAATCTGAGGGCAAGCGGAGCAAGGCTGGCTGCGGCGGAATGGGCCTGTGCGCTGTACCGCGAGCGAATGCGAAAAGAAGCGGAAGAAGCGGTGCAGTGCCGGTGCCAGTGCCGTGCGTGCGTGCGCCGAGAAAGAGGTCGGGGCGGAAGGGGGCGCATGGGCTGCTGTGAGGAGGGGCGGGGCTGACTGCAGCGGACGAAGAGCAAGGCTGGCCTCAGCGGGAAGGGGGGCTGCGGTGCAGGTGCCGTGCGCACGTGCGTGCGACAACATCCTCATCAGCCTCCACCGCACGCTCCTCCCGATCCTCCTGCTCATACTTCTCCTCGTGGTCCGCTGTCAGACGGCGCCTGCCGTCTTGGCCTCGACGTGGCGACCTCCCCGATCCGTGCGCCCATGTGCGTGGCATCGCCTGGTAGTGCACAACCCGCGCCTGCCTTACACAGCCAGACACAGGTTTATGCACGGTCGCGCCTCTCCCTCCATGTCTCTGCTGCTGCCACTCGCTTACGCACGGCTGCAAATATCGGGCGGAGATGCACAAGCCGTAGATGGTGTGGATGATGGCCCCGTGTGCCGTAGTACAGTGGAAGCCAGTCCACAAGAAACCTTCCGCAAGAAACCAAATCCTGAGACCCCAGGACGTCCATCGACTTTCGGTTTTGTAACGTCACGCTCTCTGTAGCAGAACCATCGAAGCCCAAGAAACCAAGGGCACCCTGGAGGCAAGCAGGGTGCTTCTTGGCATGGGCCTCCACTGTATGGGCCGCAGTTCCCGTGCGCGTGCGGTGCCCCCCAGCAATGGCGGCCGGCGGGTCGTCGCGCGCCCTGCGGAACCGCGAGGAGCGTGGAGGCACCGCGCTTCTTCCCCCCGGCGCCGCTCTTCACGGGCACCCTCTTCGCGGCTGCGCCGCTGAGGATACGGTGGAGGCCCATGCTAAGAAGCACACTGCTTGCCTCCAGGGTGCCCAGAGTTTCTTGGGTGTCGATGGTTCTGCTATGGAAAGCGTGACGTTCCCACACCAAAAATCAATGAACGTCCTGGGGTCTCTGGGTGAGCTCCTTGTGGAAGGTCTCTTGTGGACTGGCCTCCACAGTACTACTGATTGAATTGGACACGACACAGCTATACGCTGCTGTACGATTTCACAGCACAGCGCGATTCGTCACCATACGAGTGACAAGAACGTCTTGGCTCCCGCAGCAGCACCTTTAGAAGCTGCCTTTACCTTTACGATGCGACGGTGGTCGTGTTCACGGACTGAGGCTGCTACTGATCAGTAACACACATTACTTTTACAGTACCCTCTTTGGCAGGCATCCTCCGCCCTCTCGGCATCGAGGGGGGAGCCTGAGGTTTTCCAGTGGGCCTAATCCAAAGTTAGGGTGTCCCACCGACCAGCGTGGTGTGAGCGGTGCGATGTGCGTGCGCTGCGAACTGTGTTCCAGCAGTGTGGATGGAATATGCACGGCTTGTACAAACCCAAGGAAGCTCACCAAATGATGATTCCAAAACATGCGACTCCCCCGCCCTCCCGTTATGTGCAAGCACCCGTCTGTACACTACGCCGCTGGCCCATAGAACTATTGTGTTGCGATATTGGTACCGCTTAGTTACTGCACGAAATGTTGTATCCAATGGTTACGCTGTCCTTGCCAGCCCAGATTCATATGTTCTCTTCTTACTGAACCTTTAATGCCGCGGCCGACTTCGACAACGCTTTGCCCACCCACGCACCGGAACCAAAAAATCCTGTCTCCTTGATTCGCGCCTGTGTGCCATGCCGTCTATGTTGTGTGTGACGTGGGCTCGCGGATGCGAACCCGTAAACCTCAAGAAGGGTGCCACGCCCTCAGTGTCGTGCGAGGTGCCACGCGCGTGTCATGTCTCGCGTGAGCGTGGCCACGCTTCCGACCGATGATGTGACTGAGAAGTCCTCGCTGAATCTAGACTTCAGCAACGCTGGCAAACGTCTCCATTCCTGGTCTAATTCCATCCTCCTTCTCATCGCCCAACCCCCCTAACCTTCCCGTCGTTCTCCTCCCTCCCCACCCCATTCCCGCTCTCCCTCCCCCTCCTCCTCCACCTGGTCCATATCAGCTCTTCCCAGTTCGCCCAGCCCTGCCGTGTTCGTGATCTCGACGAGGGCTGCACGGCTTGCGGGAGGCTCTGGCGCCGGCTCAGTGGCAGCGACCAGAGAGCCCTCCCATCCCCCAGCCTCAGCAACAGATCCGAAAGAGAAGGTGTGCAGGACAGCCCACGAATTCCAAACACGAGCGCGAGAATACCAGCAGAACACCGCGGCCAGCAGAAATACAGGCGGCGACAGCAACAAAGGCGATGGCAGCGACTATGGCAACGACAGTGGCCGCGGCGACAAGACAAAGAGTACAGGAAACATAAACAGGGACAAACCAGCAAGACATCGGAGCAACGGCAGCATCAGCGCGGCAGTAGCGGTTGCGCTGACAGCCAAGTCAGCTGCGGAGGCAACGACCATAAAAGCGTGACAATGGTGGCGACAGTGGCGACAACGACGACGACGACGACGACGACGACGACGACGACGACGACGACGACGACGACGACGACGACGACGGCGGCGGCGGCGGCGGCGGCGGCGGCGGCGGCGGCGGCGGCGACGGCGACGGCGACGGCGACGGCGACGACGACGGCGGCGACGGCGAGTGCGATGGCACCGCCGACTGCGGGCCGAGCCCTTCGCCCTTCTGCCGCACACCCTGCGCTGCGGTGCCCTGGCCCGAGGTGGGAAAAGACCTCCCCGAATGATCGTCTCTGGGTGGGGGCGCAGCGGGGGGCGCGGCCAGCGAGATGCCAGGCAGCATGGTCGCTCTGGCCTGCCACCCAACCGCGAGACTGCGGCGGCCTGGTCCCATGGAACCATGCCTCCAAGCGGGTCGCGGGGCGACCCCCACCTCCACAAGATCCGTCGCTGTGACTGCTCTGCACCTTGGCCTGTGCCTGTCCCCTGCCACTCAAGTCTATCGAACCACTTTGCTCTCTTGGGCGCTAAGCCAGGCCCTCACAAGATTGTGCTGTTTGCGACGCGCCGCCCGTGGCACGAAGGAAAAGGCTTTCAAACTGGTCCTGGACCCTGGGGCCTGCCCTGAAACCGGCCGCTCGTCCCGAGTCTCTCGAGACGTGAAAAACTCGGGGACGCCAGTCCTCCAGGACCCCTTCATACAGGAACAGAAAACATGCATAACCATAAGATGCTGGAGCTCCAAGAAAGAATGTTGGGCTCCCTTTCCTTCATGCCGGATGACCTCTTCTCCGGGGTACCCCCGCGCCGGGTCGTGGGCCCGGCAAGGCCCAGTCTGGTGCTCTGGGGGGGGGCTGCGACGAGATCCACACCATCGGTCGGAGAAGTACGCAGGAACCTGAAGTAGGAAGGCGGTGAAAGTAGATTGGGCTTCCGCGCGCCCCCTGAAGAGAATGAAAACGGTGAAGCCACTCGATCACTGAAGTAGGAAAGCGCTCAAAGTAGTTTGGAACCTGGGAATCCAAAAATACCTACGTTTAGGTCGGGCATGTCCCCCTACAGGCGGATCTTGGACGAACAATACATCTAAAAAAATACGAAAGGATAGCCAAAAATATCAGAAAAATGATCCCAAGACTGTTTTTGCTACCGTCTTGGAATATTCCTCCTGCAGAGGGACAGGCCCGACCGAAGCCTGCGCCCCACGGCCCGGGCAGCGGGACCTGACTGGACAGGAGACGCGAGAGGGCACAAGACCCCTCCGAGGGCCACCTTGCCACAGGAATGTAGGATCATGTCGGGCCTATCCCCCTACAGGGGGATCTTCGACGAAAAATTAAAAATACCCCAAAAATGCCCCAAAAAAGGTCAAAAAATACTCCAAAAATGGTCCCCAGACTATTTTTGGACTATTGTTGAACTATTTTTGGGGTATTTCTTATTTATTTTTCGCCGAAAATCCCCCTGTAGGGGGACAGGCCCGACTTAAATGTAGGAAGCGTGGGTCGCGAGGCACAGGACACGAGGGCACCCTTGACTTGGCAGGGCCGACCTGCCAACCTGGGCCCACTGTAGGCCCAGGACCGGCCTGGCCAGCGGCGGTGGATGGACACGGATCTCGCCGCCCTGCGCTGGACAGGCGCGCTCCACACTGCTCGCAGATCAACTGCTCGCAAACGGCCCGGATCCGCCGCGGGGGGTCTGCTGGACATCACAGCGAGGAGGCCTGGTGTTCTCAGACGCCTGCGAGGAGGCACTCTGCGAGCAGCGCCACGCGCTCGGCGATGCGCTCCCGCGAGTTCGGCTACACGCAGGAGTGACCCTGGGTCAGAGTGACCTCTGGTGCGCGGCTTTCTGGGGGGCCGGGGGGGGGGGGACCAAACCTGGGCGCGCAAGCCGCTGCTCCTGCTTCGCTTGCAGCCATCTGGGGACCCATCCCCTGACCTTCCAGGAGGGCTAAAAACTGGCACCCGACTTAAAAACTTATCCCAGAGCTATTCTACGTCTTGGTTTTAGGCTGTCTCGCTCAGCTTTTTAGGTTTTTAGGTCTCCAGTGCTAAAAAATAGCTCTCTGGAAGGTCTGGGTCTGTGCCCGCACCAAAGGCCACTCCGGCGAAAGGTCACTCTTACGCCTGGTCGACGAGCCTCCTGGACCGCCCAGACCGGCGCCGCCTCTGGCGCCGCGGGCGCGGCCGCGGCGGCGGCCGGAGCCGTCGAGGCGGCGGGGGCCCCGCCGGGCTGCAGCGGTGCTGGCGCGGGATCCAGCGCGGGTGCCGGCGGCGCCTGAACGTGCCCGAATGCCCCCAGATGGCTCCCAATGCACCCAAGCGGCGGACGACCAGCAGATGCCCCACCAGGTGCCTCCAGCTGCCCCCAGATGCCTCTGCATGCCTCCAAAGGCACCCAGATGCCTCCGAATGCTCCGAATGCTCACCAGGGGCACCTGAACGGATGCCCCCAATTGCCTTCTGAGACCTCGGGCGGAGTGGATCCTGCACTCCTGCATTTGTCATGCAAACTGCCCTCGGGGACCGCGAGTCGAACAAGGTAGCCCGTCGGAAATCCAGGTTTTCGAGCCCCCAGGCCATCCCAGATGTCTCCCTGGCTGCCCCAGAACATCTACCAGAGGGCCGCAGGGAGACCCCAAGACGGCCCAGAGCCACCCAGGCAAGGGCCCTGAGGCAGCCCGAGGCCGCCCCAAGACGACCCCTGCAAGGCCCGACGTCAGCTCAAGACAATCCTCAGAGAACGTCTGGACTGTCCCAGTCGGCTCGAAGGTCTGCACCGACGGCCCACGTAGCACCAGGACGGCCAGAAGGCCAACAGCGGGCCCCCCGCAGTCGAGAGGCTTGTAAGAGTCCCCTCGCATGCCAAGACCATTGGCTAGGCTCGGGGGTGGGCGATCTCTGATCCTCTCCCGTCTGCTGCTCCTCCACATCCACTGCTAACCCTCGCGCTAACCATGACCCTAGCCAGCACCTACCCTCCCGTTCACCTAGTGCTAACGCTGATCATACCATAAACCAAACCCTGGCGTCGAACCTCACAATGGCTCCAATCCCTACCCTACCTGACCCTCAGCGCCACAACCTTCTGCCTAACCCAAACCCGAACCGGTAGCGTGATCCGAATCCAAGCAGATTCAATCACAACTAGAAACCAAAATCCCAACACTCCCCGTCACCCTACATACTTCAAGTCATAACCATGACCAGAATGCCGACTCTATAATCATAAGCCTCAACCAAAGCCGAACTACTTTCAAATATTAGCCAAAGGCAAGCTCTGGCACAAAACGGAGCATACCATACCCCGACACCGTGGATCGAACCCTAGCCGACAACCTAAGCGTTAGTCTGCGTAAAGAATTCGCCGGCCCGACGGGCCAGAGGCGTGCTAGGATCTCTGGTAACAACTTTAGAATATTTCTACTTCGCGCGCGCGGGGCGGCCCCTGGGGATCCCCGGACGAAAATCACGCGGACGGACACCCGGCAGACTCCGGATCAGAGATGGCGGAACTCCCGGGCGCGGTTCTGGCGGCTCCAGGATCGCTCCAGGAGCGCCCCGAAGAGGCTCCAGAGGGCTCCGAGTCGCACACAGGTCGCTCCCATATGTCTAAGATGGCCTCCAGACGGCTCCACAGGCCTCCAGAATGTCCAAGACGCCGCCAAAACGGCTCCGAAGAGAGCCCCAAGAGGCAAAATCGTTCCATTCCCTTCGTGAAACGTATATTTTTACCCGATTCGCCTCCTCAGTCAGCCTTCGCAACGTCCAGGACGGCCCCAGGGGCTCCCACGATCGCCCCAAGACAGCCGACGAGGCCCCAAAGAAGGCTCCAAGACAGCCACAGAGAGCCTCAAGACGGCTCTAGGAGCCCCAAGACTGGCCAAGACGGCCTCGGACTGCGCAAAGAGGGGCGCAGAGGAGGAATCAGAACGAATAGTTCGAACCTTCGGGCCCCAGACGCCCCGAGGAAGCTCCCGAAAGCTTCCAAAAGGGCCCAAGAGGCTCCAATAGACGGCTCCGAAGAGAGCCCCAAGAGCACAAATCGCTCCATTCCCTAAGCAAGACGCATCTGTTTACCAGATTCGCCTCCTCAGCTTTCGTAGCGTCCAAGACGGCCCCAGAGGCTCCCAAGATAGCCCCAAGACCGCCGAAGAGGCCCCAAAAAGGCTCCAAAACATCCCCAGGGAGCCTCAAGACGGCTCCAGGACCCCCAAAGACTGGCCAAGACGGCCTCAGGACTAAGAGGTTCCAAGAGACGCTTCCGAACAGAGCCCCAAAAGGCAAAAATCGCCAATTACCGTCGTAAAGCGTACATGTTTCACCAATCCGCCTCCTCAATCTTCCAACGTGCAAAACGGCCCCAGAGGCTCCCAAGATCGCACCAAGACCGCCGAAGAGGTCCCCAAGACGGCTCCAAGACAGCCCCAGAGAGCCTCGAGACGGTTCAAGGAGCCCCAAGACTGGCCAAGACGGCCTCGGACTGCGCCAAAAGGGGCCCACAAGAGGAACCAAACCAGACATGTCGAACCTTCGGGCCCCAGACGCCCTGAGGAAGCTCCCGGAAGCTTCTTCCAAGAGGCCCCAAGAGGCTCCAAGAGCCCACAAGAGCCTCACAACGCTCTCAGAAAGCCCCCTGGGGTCCCACCAGAAACTGACAAACTCCTTCCAAAAAGTCTTCGACAAGCTCCCCTCGAAACTCTATCAGCCATCCGATTGGCTTCAGGCACTACATTCAAGCACGGTGGTTGGATAGGCCCACGGTCACTCGCAGGCGCCACGCCCCACGGCCTCACGCCAAACGCGCTCCAAATTTCCCGACGCCTATTTTTCCGTGTTCTCCTCCTCCTCCTCCTCCTCCACATCCTCCTCCTCCTCTTCCTGCTACTCCTGCTTCTCCTCCTCCTCCTCCTCATCATCATCCTCCTCCTCTTCTCCGAGTGGTCTCAGACACACAACCCAGGCGCACACACACACACACACACACACACACACACACACACACACACACACACACACACACGCACGCACGCACGCACGCACGCACGCACGCACGCACGCACGCACGCACGCGCGCGCACACACGCACACGCACACGCACAACACACCACACACACACACACACACACACACACACACACACACACACACACACACACGCACGCACGCACACGCACGCACGCACGCGCACGCACGCACGCACGCACGCACGCACGCACGCACGCACACACACACACACACACCACACACACACACACACACACACACACACACACACACACACACACGCACACGCACACGCACACGCCACGCACGCACGCACGCCGCACACACCACACACACACACACACACACACACACACACACACACACACACACACACACACACACGCGCACACACACACACCCACACACATACACCACACATACGCGCGCACACACACACACACACACACACACACACACACACACACACACACACACACACACCACACACACACGCACGCACGCACGCACGCACTCACCACGAAAGCACGCACGCACACACACACACACACACACACACACACACACACACCACACACACACACACACACACACACACACGCGCGCGCGCGCGCACCACATGCACACAAGCACACACACATACACACACACACACACACACACAAGCACACAAACGCACTCTTGGCGATCGCGGCCTCGCGCGCAGCGACGAAGGAGAAAGTCGATACGTTACCGAATGCGAGACCCGCGGGCGCCAGGCCCTCAGAAGCGGGCGCAACCCGCGCAAGGGGCCAAATCACCCGCGCACATATACACACACACACACACTCACACACACACATTCACACACACGCACACACACACACACAGACACAAACACACACACGCGCGCGCGCACACACACGACACATACACACACACACACACTCAACCACACACACACACACACACACACGCACGCACGCACGCACGCGCGCGCAAGCGCACGCGCGCGCGTGGACTACACACAGAGGACACGCAGCACCGAGGCAACGCAAGACATACTCACAATACACTGAAGCTGCCCACAACTTGCGTACCCCTTACCAGCAGGGGCCCAGTGCGACAGTGACGTGACCAGATGTGTTCTGAAGCTATACCGCTGCTCCCCGAACGCCTGGGTGGGCCGACAATACTAGAAGCTTCAGACCAGGAGATCGGCGAGGCAGGATTAGCTCAGAACACGCGTGATACTCCTGCAGCACTGGAGCAAACGAAAAAACACCCACGGTAGCTGAACCGCGTGATGCGTCCTGCAATCAATCACGGCTATATGCCGGCGGCGAGCTCCGGGGGAAGCGAGAAGGGGCGGACCTTCTCAGAAGGCCCCACGTCTTCCAGCCTTCTGAGAGAAGTTTTCCAAATCTTCCCCGAAGGCACAGCAAACTCCTCGGAAGGCTGGAGGCCTTCTGAGAAGCCCCGCAGCCTTCTGAGAATGAAGGGGCCCTGGGACACACAAATAAATACACACAAATAAAAGGACTCCCCATATTTTCCCATATTTTCTGGCTTTTTGTCTTCCCCCCACTTCCCACATTTTCCCATATTTTCTGGGGAATCGACGATTAATTGTGTCTGTGTGCTTTTTTCCCTCGTGAGAAGGCCTCCTCCTCCTCACGTTCCTCCCTCGCCCGCCGCCGAGGAAGGCCATCCCATGACGGGCCAGCCGCTTCCCCGCGCTTGGAGGAGCAACGATAGATCGGGGGTGGACAGAACCCCCAACAGCGACACGTCGATTGGTGAATTGTCCGTTTTCGGTTCTCGAGAGGGCGCCGCGACCGTTATTGTCCAGGCTTGCGCCCGCCAGGTTTGGGCCTCAGGTCGTTTTCACTAAACCACGTTTTACTAAAGGGAGGTCTGTCCATCCCCGAATAGAGGGGGACTGGCATAGGGGGGATGCATCGACCTGGAATCGACGATACACCGCCGATAGATCGGCGATGGACCCCCGACAGCGCATCCGCACTTCCCTGGGCGGGGTGGGGCTGTCGGGCCCCGATCGGCGATGAATGGACGATTGGGGGTCGATGCATCCCCCCCTTATGCCTATCCCCCCCCTATCTACACAAGCGCGGTCCACTACTCGCAAAGTAGCTGCTCGCAAATGGCCTGGATCCGCCACAGGGGACTTACGATATATTACACAAAGACAGACAGACGGCTTTCTGACGTTTGCGAGTAGGCACTTTGCGAGTAGTAGAACGCGCTCGGCGACTATCGTTGCCCCCGACACTTGCTTCTAACCCTATCGTTGCCCCCCCTATCGTTGCCTATCCCCCCCTATCGTTGCCTGTCCCCCCCTATCGTTGCCTGTCCCCCCGACAGACGTTGCTTCTGACCCTATGCCTATCCCCCCCTACCGTTGCCCCCGACGCCTGCTTCTGACCCTGCGGCACCCCTGCGTGTGCCGACGCTGCCGGCAGCGCCGGCGCAAGCCCGGCGGGCGGCGCGGGCAGCACCGGCGCCTCGGAGGGGCCCCCTCCGCTTACCCTGCAGACGTGCTGCAGCGGATTGTCGCGCGGCAGGCAGGCAGGCAGTCCGATCGAGTCAATGCTCGGCCCAGAATCGGGCGCGACTGTGTTGAATCTCAAGCCTCACTCTTGAAGCCCGATTTTCGCGCGGATTTCTGTCAATGTAAGAACCCGAAGCGGCGAGTGGAAAACGGAGCGAATGTTGCGTGGCTGCTTGTTGTTCTTATTCTCCAGTCCTGGCCAAAAAAAGCCCGCACGGAATTCACCGCGAAATCTGGAACGACATTCTCCAGGACACTCCGGGTCCATCCTATCGTTTTCCAAACGAAATCCGCTCTGCGATGTTGGCGCCATGATACAGTCAACCAGTATAAGAAGGATGCGCGGTAAGGACGCAAGGGCCTTGCAGGGTCACGTTAACGTTGTTCGAACGAGGCTGGCCAACGAAAATCGTTCAGGATGGGCCGACGAGGAAGGATTCAAGAGTAGCCTTGGAAAGTCGCTCCTCCTCACTACGCGGGTTGACTGCAAAAGGTAACGGAGCTTCACCAGATTGACGGATGGCGCGGCTAGTCTGGAATGTACGCCCCTTGGGACTTCTGCGCCAAAGAGCAAGAGTTTCGCACACCTCCGCGAGGCTCCCAGCGACCAGAGGCCCTTCGAATACCAGAACCCGACCCCGACGTTGTCCCGCTGACACGCCTGCTGCCCTGGACCTAGGAACGGGGGACTCGGAGCTATTGTTAGGTTGGGCGTGTCCTCCTACAGGAACATTTGGGGCGAAAAATAAATTAGCCTGGCGAATGACACAACCATATGCAGTTGTGAATAACGCGTTGTGGGTGCCGCTTTCGGTGGAGCTCACTAGTGGGCCACGAAACGCTATACTGGGTGGTGGCTGACGCATGCGGGCGGTGCCCTTCGCAGGAGCTCCCGATGAGGCCACGAAACGCTGTGCTGGTTGGGGGAAACGCATGCGGGCGGTGCCACTGGTGCCGTCGGTAGAGCCTCCTATGGGGCCACGGAACGCTCTACTTTTTGGTGGCCGACGCATGCGGGCGGTGCCAGTGGGGGCTTCGGAGGAGCTCCCTATGCGGCCACGAACCCCTTTACTGCTTCATTGGGAGGGGGGACGCATGCGGGCGGTGCCACTGGGACCTGCGGTGGAGCTCCCTATGGGCCCACGAAACGCTGTGGTGGATGGGGTGTCGCATGCGGGCGGGCCACTGGAGCTCCCTGAGGGGCCACGAAACGCTGTACCGGGTGGCGCATGCGGGCGGTGCCGCTGGGGCCTTCGGTGGAGCCCCCTGTGGGGCAACGAAACGCTGGGCTGGGTGGTGGCTGACGCATGCGGGCGGTCCCACTGGGACCTGCGGTGGAGCTCCCTATGGAAGCACGAAGCGCTGTGCTGGCTGGTAGCTGGCGCATGCGGGCGGTGCCAGTGGGGGCTTCGGTGGAGCTCCCTATGGGGCCACGAAACGCTGTACTGGGTGGTGGCTGACGCATGCGGGCGGTGCCACTGGGGCCTTCGGTGGAGCTCCATATGAGACCACGAACTGCTGTACCGGGTGGTGGCTGAACGCATGCGGGCGGTCCACAGGACCATCGGTCAAGCTCCCTGTGGGACCACGAAACGCTATATTGGGTGGTGGCTGACGCATTCGGGCGGTGCCACTGGGACCTGCGGTGGAGCTACCCATTGGGCCACGAAACGCTGTACTGGATGATGGCTGACGCATGCGGGCGGTGCCTCTGGGGCCTTCGGTGGAGCCCCCTATGGGGCCACGAACCGCTGTGCTGGGTGGTGGCTGACGCATACTGGGACCTGCGGTGGAGCTCCTTTTGGAACCACGAAACGCTGTACTCGGTGGTGGCTGACGCATGCGGGCGGTGCCACTGGGGCCTTCTGTGGAGCTCCCTATGGGACCACGAAACGCTGTAATGCGTGGTGGCTGACGCACGCGGGTGGTGCCAGTAAAGGCTCGGTGGAGCTCCCTATGGGGCCACGAAACGCTGTACTGGGTGGTGGCTGGCGCATGCGGGCGGTGCCAGTGGGGGCTTCGGTGGAGCTCCCTATGGAGCCACGAAACGCTGTACTGAGTGGGTGAACCGCAAGGAGGAGGGAAGAGGGGGAGGAGGGGGAGGAGGAGGAGGGAGGAGGAAGGAAGGAGGGAAAAAAGTGAACGCGGGGACCGGCTCTTCAAAACGAAGACCCAACACCACAGAATGGTTGGGAAACATGCTCAAACATATTCAGAAGTAATCAAAAATCATCCCCTTGTTGTCTATGCTTGCATCTTCCTCCTGTGGAGGGACACGCCCGATCTAAGGCTATTGAACCTCCAACAGGCTGGTGCCTCTCGGTGTGGGGCCCCACCAAAATCCACCCATGGAGGACTTCATGCACGTCATCCTCGTCATCACCACCGTCATCACCATGACCATCGTCGACATCATGATCGCCAGCAGAAGCAACATCGTGAACCATGAGCCGGCATGGAAGACACATGTGCCGCCATCCTGCTTGATGCCTCTGGCCACTGGCCCCAAGATCCACAAGGCGGCTCCAGGAGCTCACAGGGACGCTTCCCGAGAGGCCTCGGGAACGCTCGCAGACGAGAGGCCCGAGGAGGCGTCGCGACAGCCGTGCAACGCCATGGCCGTGCCACACCACAGAATTGGTGCGTAGCTTTCTCCAGCGCGGTGGGACGGGTGCGCGGCAGCACGACTGGATGTCAAGACCGTTGGATAAGTTGTCGTGCTAGCTTCTCGCTTCGTTACCGTCGGGGCGTTGACCTAAAGAACCCTAAATAAGGCACGAGGCCCCTTTTCTCCACAAGTTAAACTTCGATTCCCGATCGAAAACATAAGGAAAACCTGAGGCAAGCTGCGAAACACTTGAGGAACGCGGAGCCCCTCCCCAACGAAAAGGGTTCCTTCTTCAGGGCCCAGACTGTACGGCAACATGCCTCGAGTGAAAGACGGCGTACGCCAGCGCTTGCAAGAGCGCGTTTGGAGCGCCGGGCAACTGTGAATGACATCGCTCGCCATCACCGTACTCAGCTTCACAATCGGTGCTCGCACCAAGGAGCTATTCCTGGTCTTATCCATAACCGTACCCTCGGCACGTTGGGTGTCGTGTAGAATGCTCCTCCGCTGTCTGGAGCAGGTTTTGCAAAGTTTTCCAGGGCCGCCCCACTCGTACGCGCTCTTTGTGAACCGCCCTCCCTCCCGAGGCCATGATCCCTCGCACAAAACTAAATATCCGCGCTCCCGATGCCACAATCCCATGAAAAAAAAAAAAATGCGCTCACGATCTTCCAGGCCGACCCAGGCGGCAACCAAGGCTGCCAAGAGGGCCCAAGATGCCTCCAAGACGGCCCAAGATGGCCTCAAGACGGCCGAACATGCCTCCGGGGGGGGGGGGGCAAGCCGGGCAAGAGGGCCACAAAATTCCGCAGCAGTTTCCGAAGGCGCCAGACGGCCCAAGAGCGTCGGAGCCCCGAGGGAAGGCTCGAAGAGAGCCCCAAGAGAGCCCCAAGACGGCTCTCAGAGGGCCCCTCCCCGGTGTTCTCGGCAGTTCACTACACAGGCATTTCCAGAATGCACTGTCTACCTACCAGACCACCCCAACCCTACCCGGATCCCCGAATTTCGGTTTGGGGGGGTACGGGCTTCATACGTGTTTTTGTTCACTGTGCCCCGACGCCCCCCCCACATGGAAATGGAGGGCAAATCGGCGCCCTCGGGTTGGGTTGGGATGGTTTGGTGGGCGGTGGTGAACGAGGCAGCGGTGACTCGCCGCAGGCGTATTAGATGCGCCGACAACCGAAACCAGCTACAAAGATGGCAGACGTAGCAGCAGAGGTGGCGAAGCTGCTCTCGGAGAACCGCTGCCCGGGAAAACTGAAATGGTAATCCGACTGGTCGTTCGCAAGGCGGCGCAGGAGGCCGAAGCGCACGAAAACTCTATATCCGAACTGCTCGGGACCGTGAGATCAGGAGAAGTGTTGTGCAGAGGCAGGCTGCATGTTTCGCGAAGGGGTGGGGTAAAATGTAGTGCTACTCATGTGTTCACACTGTCGCTGTTTTAATCTGGATGACTCTGGCTCCCCTCAAGACGAAGGGTGGGCCCCCGCAACATGGATATGTTCAAACACAGTGCGCTCCAGCATAGGCAACATTTGTGCGAAATGGATGTCGCTTGCACGTCGCACGGTAAGACCTGCAAGAACAGCATATGCCAGGCACCACATGGAGTCAATCAATCAGCCAACATACGCATACATATACATGCACACTCGCACGCGCGCTCACGCCACCGTTTTGCAGTCCCCAAACCTATGCGGCTTATCCGAACCCTCTCGCCCAACAACCGAAGCCTCGGGTTGACCACCCGGTGGAGATGGAATTGACAAGCCAAGTAACTCTCAGGCAAGCGCAACTGCCCGCGCTGGAGCAGGCGCCTGCACTGGCATCGGCGCCTGAACTGGCATCGGCGCCAGCGCTGGTACGACTGCGGACAAGCCCGGCGCTGAGTCCGAAAGGCGGTGCGGCCACTGTCGCCTCGGAATCCCCAGTTCGGCAGAGCCAAATGGGAGGGTGAAGCATGGGGCTGGCCTGCTAGCAACGCTGCATTGTTGTCGATGTCTGCGCTGCTATTTGTTACGATCCAGCGTGACAGGCGCATGTAGGACAAAGCACTCCGACACCATACCGACCACACATCGGCTGCTCAAATTACATGAATGATCCCGACAACGAACCACTCCACATTGAAAACAGGATGACCAGAAAAAAAAAAACTGGACACTGAGGTCCATGAGGAGAGCTCTACACAGCACGTCCGCACATATGTTTAACGAGCGCATGGAGGCCGACACATCATGTAGCACGCTGGTGGAGTCCACATCCATGACACGAGTTTCAGTTTCCTTCCGAATATCAGCCGATCGTAATTGGTAGCCTTCCACCGGTAGCGTTGTTGCAACCGCTGGTGAACAGGCGGGGCGCGCCGGCGCGAATGGCGAGCGCACGTCTGACGCACGCGCTCGAGCAGAGGCGGTGCTCTCCCTGGTTGGGGGCGGGCCAGCGCGAGCCGAGCGAGAAGAATGCCAACAGCGCGCCACGCAACGGACCCGGCAGGCATCGCGCACGACTGGCGAGGCAGCGGCTTCGGCGGGAAGACTGGGGAAACCAAAGGTTACCAATACCGCTAGTCCCGGGGACCTGTCCCCGTGTGCGTTCTGACCAAGATTTCGAGGCGAATCCAGCGGTGGCGACGAGGGCTTCCCGGGAGGCTCAGAAACGGCGAAAACGAGGGAAGATAACGGTCTGAGTGCCTCCTCCTCCTCACCTCCTCCTCCTCCTCCTGCTCCTCCTCCTCCTCCTCCTCCTCCTCCTCCTCCTCCTCCTCCTCCTCCTCCTCCTCCTGCCTCCTCCCGCTCCTCCTCCTCCTCTCCTCTCCTCCTCCTCCTCCTCCTCCTCATCATCATCCTCCCTCCTCCTCCTCCTCCTCCTTCTCTTCTTCTTCTCCTTCCTCCTCCTCCTCCTCCTCCTCCTCCTCCTCCTCCTCCTCCTCCTCCTCCTCCTCCTCCTCCTCCTTCGCTCCTCCCTCCTCCTCCTCCTCCTCCTCCTCCTCCTCCTCCTCCTCCTCCTCCTCCTCCTCCTCCTCCTCCTGCTCCTCCTCCTCCTCCTCCTCCTCCTCCTCCTCCTCCTCCTCCTCCTCCTCCTCCTCCAGTCGTTTCCCTTATGAATAACGTTTCCCTGTCGCAACTCGAAGCCAGTCTTTAGAGCGGGCCGGGCGTTTCGCCGGAGACGTACTCACCATTTATATCTCTGAAGTTTAAAAAGTGGCAACAGGTTCGCAGATGGAGGGCGGGTGGCTTTCAAAATGTGGCTCTTGCCTTAGCACCGCGCACAATTCGTTTCAAAAAGTTGCAAGAGCTTCACGCATTGAGGGCGGGTCCTTTTCAAAATGTGGCTCTCGCCATAGCGCCGAGCACCTTCGTTTTTGAAATGTGCAAGAAGTTTCACGGAGTGAGGGCGGCTCCTTTTCAAAATGTAGCTCTCGCCTGAATGCCGAGCACATTCGTTAAATAACTCCAAGAGTTTCACGGATTCAGGGCGGGTCGTTTTCAAAATGCAGCTCTCGCCTCAGCGCCGCGCATATTCGTTTTGCAAATTCGCAAGAGTTTCACGGATTGAGGGCGGCTCATTTTCAAAGTGTGGCAAGTGTGGCTCTCGCCATAGCGCCTCGCACATTCGCTTCAAACATTCGGAAGGGTTTCACTGATTCCCATGATCAATGTACCGAAAATTGCGTTCTGGAAGGATTCTGGATTGTGCGGGTACAGTAGCTATGTTGATTCGCGGTGTTGAAGTCCCGAAAGTGGCGTTCTGGCACGATTCCGGATAGTCAAGACGCAGCAGTCAGGTGAACAATGTTTCGCAAGCTTCAGGGTCTTCGAACGGTTGTCTTCCAACGAGGCAGTTCCCTCAATGGGAACGGACCAGTGGATGGGGCCTATGAAGAGGGAGCTTGGAGGGAGGGTTAATTCCAGCATCGTTGATGACTTTTGGGTTTACACTGGTCCTCCTCCTCCTCCTCCTCCTGCTCCTCCTGTGGCCTGCCCGCCTCCTCCTCCTGCTCCTCCTCCTCCTCCTCCTCCTCCTCCTCCTCCTCCTCCCTCCTCCTCCTCCTCCTCCTCCTCTCCTCCTCCTCCTCCTCTCCTCCTCCTCCTCCTCCTCCTCCTCCTCCTCCTCTCCTCCTCCTTCCCCTCCTCCTCCTGCTCCTTCTCCTCCTCCTCCTCCCGAAGGAGCGGGCCTGCGGGACGAGGAGAGCGGGGACGAGAACTCGAGGAGGCGGCAGAGGAGCGCAGAGGGCGCCCAGAGGAGGCCCGCAGGAGGCGACCAGGATGAGGAGGAGGCGGCGGCGGCAGGCCAGAGGAGGAGCAGGAGGAGGAGGAGGAGGAGGAGGAGGAGAGGAGGAGGGGGAGGAGGAGGAGGGAGGGAGGAGGAGGAGGAGGAGGAGGAGGAGGAGGAGGAGGAGGGAGGACATGGAGGAGGACGCGGCGGCATCTGAAGCATCTGGCAGGAGGAGGCAGGAGGAGGCAGGAGGAGGAGGAGGGAGGAGGAGGAGGAGGTGGAGGACAGGAGGAGCAGGAGGAGGAGGAGGAGGTGGAGGACCGCGGCGGCATCTGAACCGATCGCTGGTGACCTCCCGAAAGAGCGGGTCTGCGGGAGCAACAGTGATCGGCGGCGAGCACGCAGGGGAAATGAGAAGGGGCGAGCCTTCTAAGAAAGCTCGAAGTCCCCCGGTCTTCCGATAAGTTTCTTGAAATTCGGCAATAAGGACGATAGTGTACACAGGGTTCAACGCAGAAAGGGTTCCCAATCCTATGCCCCAAAATGCTTTCTCATGACTTTATATAGAACCCCCCAGGAGTCCCAAAATCAGTGAAAAACCTCCGAGTGAATTCTGAGGTTTCTTTTTGTCCGCTTCTGGTGACTCGGCTCAGGATGGCTCCAACGGGGCCTAGGAGCAGCCAAAGGAGAGACCGAAAGACATCCATGATGACCTCAAAAGGCCACACAGGCAGCCCAGGGCAGCAAGAAAATGACCCCAAGACGGCCCGAAAGGGTCCCAAGACATCCCACAGGGACTCCCCAAAACGGCCAAAGGACCCAAGACAGCCGAAGAGGGTCCCGAGAGGCCCCCCGGAGCCCAAGAGAGCACAAGACGCCGAATAAGATCCCCTCAAATTTTAGAGACGAGAGGTGTCACATGTTAATTGCGGCCTTCTAATGGTGCCCGAAGCTGGCACGGTAGCGGAAACCCCGCCAGCAGCTTGATACAAAACACAATCGCCAATTCTGCCAAGACATGTTAGCAAAAAAGGGAAAGGCACGAGCCCTGCTTGGGGGCCTCATGGAGGTCAGGAGCATCGCAGATAGACGAGCTGTGGATCCTACCATGAGGTGGCATGACCCCGTCCGCGTGTGGAAGACGCGGCTCCTCGTCGTCGAGACGCTGTTCATCGAGAGCCTCGTCGTCGACGGCACAGCTCCCACATCGAGGTCGCCGCTCTCGCTCCTTTCCATGAGCCCTCCTCCTCCTCCCCCTCCTCCTCCTCCTCCTCCTCCTCCTCCTCCTCCTCCTCCTCCTCCTCCTCCCGTCGCCTAACAGACCAACATCTCATAGCGACTAAAGGAAGCCACTTCCTTTTTTTATCCCTTCCTTTTGATCCCTTCCCCGGGGCGGGGGGGGGGTCCCAACGGGGGTCCCGGGGGTGTCCCGAGGGGGGTCCCGGAGGGGGGTCGCCACCCAGACACGCCTCCCCCCTGGGCGGTCCCGGGGCCCAGAAAAGCCCCAAGACAGCCAAGAGGCCCCCAGGACGGTCCAAGAGGGCACCGAATCGCCGTACTATCGGTCCAAGACGCCAAATTGGCCTCCAGACAGCCAGGGGTTTCCAAGACTGGCCCCAAGACGGCTCCCAAGACGCCCGAGAGCGACCCAAGAGGCGTCCCAACAGGGCCCTAAGAGGCCAAAATAATGTATTGTCGTAAAGTTTGTTTTAAGATTGTTGCCTTTCCACTTGTTCGGCTTTCCGACGCCCCAAAACGGCCCAAGAAGCCCCCAAGCTCGCCCCCAGACGGCCCAAGAGGGCCCCAAGAGTGCCCCAAGACTGCCCAAGAGGGCCCCAGGACAGCCCTAGAGCCGCCCAAGACGGCCCAAGAGGGCCCCAAGACGGCCCCACGAGAGGCACCAGAGAGGGACCGCAAACGGAAAATTCGAGCCTTCCGCCCCAAGAGGCCCCCTAGAGGCCCCAAGAGGCCCCCAAGAGACCCCCAAGAGGCCCCAAGAGGCAACCAAGAGGCACAAAAAAGGCCACAGGCGGCCCCTGGGAGCCCGGGAGCCCCCCAACAGGCCCCCGAGACAAGAGGCCCCAAAACTACCCCCGTCGGCGTTGTGCCCGTCGTGGTCGTCGCCGTCGCCGTCGCCGTCGCCGTCGTCCTCGTCCTCGTCGTCGTCGTCGTCGTCGTCGTCGTCGTCGTCGTCGTCGTCGTCGTCGTCGTCGTCGTCGTCGTCGTCGCCGTCGCCGTCGCCGTCGCCGTCGCCGTCGCCGTCGCCGTCGCCGTCGCCGTCGCCGTCGCCGTCGCCGTCGCCGTCGCCGTCGCCGTCGCCGTCGCCGTCGCCGTCGCCGTCGCCGTCGTCATCGTCGTCGTCGTCAGGGTCGGCGGCACTGGCCGTACGGCCTTCACAATGCGAATGGCACGAGCCCTGTTTGGAGGCCTGATGGGAGTCGGGTGCATCGCAAATAGAGTACCTGTGAATCCCACCATGAGGTGGAATGAACAATGCAGGTAAATGAGATACACAGCATGACAACAACGCGGTGGCTTTGGCGGATGATAACTTGTGCACGGTCAGAAAAGTCTGCGCGATGGACGCTAGAAGCCGGGTGGCTGGTGGTGAATGGTGGGTGGTAGCTGAGAGAGGTGGTGGGTGGTGGCTCAAGGCCCGCAGCTGGTGATGGTGGGTGGTGGGATTTGGATGGTGGGTAAAGTTTGGTGCGTTGCAGGTTGTGAGTGGTGGGCAGTGGGTGTTGGGTGGTGGTTGGTGAGGTGGTGAGCGGTGGGACATGGGGCACTGGGTTGTGTGGTGCATGTGCGTGTGAAGCAAAATATGTGGCGGCTAGACCGCGGGGAAACCAGGCCTGGGGCCCGCAGCCCCAGGACGACTAAGCCCGCTGCCCTTCTGCGTCACGACGCGCACCGGCACCCGAGCTGCTGCTCACGTGTGCTGCGTCGCGGCGCGCACCTGCATATGAGAAGCTGCCACTGCTGGCTGCTGCTGCGTCACGACGCACTCCTGCACCTGAGCTGTCATGGCGGAGAAGGAACGCTGCACTCGTCGGGACCGAAAACCACCACGGAAGAGAAACATCATGGTTATAGATGCACACTTGCTGATCAGACAGACACCCATTCCATGACAACTGGCGTGTTTGCGGTGAACATCACCTCTTGTTAGATCCTCGAACTCACTGGGACGAGACAGCGGTGGCGGCGGAACGTATGCCCAATCTGCATGTCCTGATCCAGCACGGCGACACGCTAGGCTCCAGACGAACGGGACGAGGTGCTGCTTGAATCGCACTCCTGGCATGGCGCAATGGGTCGGGGAAGAGAAGCTCGGGAAAAAAAATTAGAACAAAAGTGAACGGGCAGGCAAACAACAGAACGGAAGGTATGGGCGCCTCAACATCCACACCCTGTTCCTCCCGAGCCCCTGTCGTTCCTAGGAATTGTTTTGACGTCCAAAAAAGCCGCCGAGCGCGAACGTATGCCAATCTCGCTGGCCCCCAAGAGAAACGGAACTCGCACAAATCCCACCAGTCCTCTGGCCGTAGTTGGTTCTACGAGCTCTGTGTTCTCCCTGCCGAAATCCGTCCTTCCCCTGCTCGGGGAAGGGTTTACACCTCCCTCTACGCCCTCCCCTGGGTTTGGACGGGGCGCCCCGCAAGGTGTCAGAGGGCGCTGTTCGGTCCAAGTTGGCTCCAAGAGGGCCTCAGAGAGCCCATGGCAGCCTCCCAGATGGCCCAGGATAGCCGAACATGTTTCAAGATAGCCTCCGACATACCTCTAAGAGGCCCCCAGACAGCCCCAGGACGGTTCAAAGTGCCCTCTTGGGTCCCAAGATGGACAGCCCCAGAGGGCCCCAATGGGGGCCGAAGGGTTTTAGCGTCCTCGCCTTTTTCGACTCTCAGGGGCTCATGACGGCCCAAGCAGCCTGCCAAATGCCAAAAAAACAGCCCCAAAGGCCCCCGAGAGAGCCCCAAGGCCGCCCAAGAGGGCCGCAAGATGGCCACAAGAGGCCCCCAAAACGGTCCAAGAGACCCCCTAAGAAGGCAAAGAGGCCCCCGAAACGGTCAAAGAGGAACCCAAGAGGAACCCAAGACGGCCCAAGAGGACCCCACGAGAGCCCCAAGGCGGCCGCGAGAGGCCCACAGGATGGCCCCCGAAGGGGCCAAACGGCGCAAGGGCGCCCCAAGATGGCCCAAGACGCTCCCAAGAGGCCAAGAGTCCCCAAAGAAGCCGCCGAGAGGTCCAAAGAGCCCCCGAGAGGCTTCCAAAAGGCTCCAGCGAGGCTCCCACCAGACCCCGTAACGACTGGACTTCACGTACCCCCGACGTGCACCCCGCGAGAAGAAAAAAATCCACGTCTGGAGGAGACGTGCTGAGCGGCAGCGGTTTTCGGCGAACGCTCTAATGCAACGTATCCAATGTATGCCAGCATTGCAACCACATAGTGCATTAGTATGTCTCCACTGTTACCTCCCCGCCTCAGGCCACCCAACAACCGTCGACACAAAGATAGAGGACCCCTTCTGGGCCCAAAAACTTACAACGGAACATATATGATTTTAGCCCCTTGGGCCTCTTGGGGGTCTCAGACTGCGTCAAGACGGCTCACAATGGCCTCAATACGTACGAGCCAAGACAGCCCCGAGACAGTCAAAGATGGCCCCAAGAGGGCCCAAGAAGCCACCGAGACGGCCCAAGAGGCCCCCAAAGCAGCCCCAAAAGCGCCCCTCCAGAGGCCAAAAGTCTATGACGTCCCAAGCAGCCTCCAAAATGGCCCTAAGACGGCACCAGGGGCCCCCAAGGGGGGCGCAAAACGGGCGACCCCCCCCTCCCTCCCTCCCTTTCACTCTCCCTCCCCCCTCTTCTTGCTTCCCATTCCTTCGTCCAACCCGCCCCCCCTCGCTCCCTCGCCCCTCTCCGTCCTCCCACCCCCCCGCTCCTCCCCCTCGTCTGCCCCCCGGGCGGTGAGAGCAGAGGGACGGGCAGGGGAGAGGGGCAGGCCAGAGCGGGAAGGCAGCGGAGGGCAGGAGGGAGAGAGAGGTGGGAGGGCAGGGCGAAGGAGAATCCGATGAAGCTCCAGAATTAAGCCGAAATGTATCACAGAGGAAGCAGCAAACTAGCGCCAATATTCAGCTCGGAAGCTACCTATTAAGTTAAGTTTGGGAATGAGCCCCAACATTTGCTCGTGGAAACACAAAAGTGAGCACGTAAGTCAGGGCCGAAAATTAAGCCGGCGCGAATAAAATCGACTTAAGAACTGGTTGAAGCGCTAGTTTAGGCGCCTCAAGTCGGCGCTCATTTAGGCACTCATTTAGGCGCTCATGTTGGGCGCTGATTCAGGACAGGGCCGCTGAATCTACCTGCTGATGTTAACGCTGAGCTATCCGCTACTTCCAACGCTAATGAGATACAAATGAGCTTTGCTGCTGGAGCTTCTCGGAAGTACCCGCTCACTGCTGCCGCTGAATGTTCACTAGCTTGAGCTTACGCAAAATATGTCATAAACAAAAAGCGTCTCTAATTTGCGACGTCATCAATGCCTGATGTTGGCGCCTACATTAGCGGGGCCCCCAAGAGGCCTCCAAGAGGCTCCCAAGACGTTCCCAGGAGGCCCCACAACGACTGGACTGTACGTGCTCTGGACGTGCACCCCGCGAAGCGAGAGGAATCAATCGAATGGAGGTGGCTAGGGCTGGACAAGCTGCGAGAGCTGGAGAAGCTGGGCAGGACAATCAGCTCGATGTTTTGGCTAAGTGGCAATCGCGGCAGGCCTCTCACCCCTCCCATCTTCACGTCCTCGCCCACCCCGTGGACCGAAACCCTAACCACTCCCCGTTGCCGGTCATCCCTGGATTTCCGCCAGCCGACACCCAAGCCGCGCCTCGAAGGGCGAGTGCCAGCAGGGTCGCAGTCAGCGGCCTGCCGCGGAAGCGTAATCAGCGGAGGAGGCGGGAAGTAGCGGGATTTGGCTCCAGAAACGGAAGGGCAAACAGAACGTGGAAGGGGGGACCAGCGAGAAAGGAAAATGCGGAGAGCTACGGCACATGAGGGAGGAGGAAGAACGAAAGGGAGGATCAGGCTTGTGGCTTGAACCATCCAAAGTAAGCCGGCACTGGCCGATCGGACTGGAAAGAGATCCCCCCCAACAAAAAAAACGTGCCCGAAGGAAAGCGGCGCACGTTGGAACACACATATAATGAGAACTGGCCTGGGATCGAGCTCGTGCGACTGTCAATCGGTCGAAGCGCTCGAAGGCTCCGAACCTGTCGAGTCAAAGTCCTGACACGAAGGGGGGAGAGTCCATTCTAACATCTTAGTCAACAAACTTCCGAAACATACATTGCATGGAATACAATTCACACCGACTGCAGCTGAGCCTTGGGCCTGTTCATCGATAATCGCGAACTGCCGCCCACAAGATTGACCCGTGAGCCAAAGGTGACGCGGACTGCGGCCCTCGCGTCGAAGGGGGCGGGCGTGCCGTGATGCGAGAGAGCGTGACCCACCGCCGCTTTACTGTGGAAAGTTCCTCCCCCCTCTTCCTCCGGAACCCGGGGGTCCCCCCCCCTCCGAAAATCCCCCACCCCTGCTGGAACCCCCTTTCCTTTTCCCCCCGGCCAAACCCCCCCTCCCCTAACCCCCACCCCCCTCCACCCCCTCCCCTCCAGAAAACCAAAGGAAGTTCACTACTGGTTCGAACCCCCCCTCCTCTCCGGAAAACCGGGGGGGTCACTACGGGTTCGAACCCGCCCCCCCCCTCGAAAACCGAGGGGGGTCACTACCGGTTCGAACCCCCTCTTCCCCCCCCACGCTCACCGCCAGCAAACGACTCCCGGTCCCTGCCACCGTCCACCCCACATCCCCCACTGCTGTCCCCAGCACCACTGTCCTCACCACCACTCTCCCCACTGGTTCCACCACCGTCCCTACTGTCCTCACCCACCAGTGCCCCCACCACTGTCGCACCGTCCCCGCTATCCCCACCACTGTTCCCACCACGGTTCCACTCTCCCCACCTTCTCCACGACCCCAACCACTGCCCGACTGTCCCCACTGTCCCCACTGTCCCACTCTGCTCCGCTTTCCCACTGAGCTGTCCCGCTGTTCCCACCAATGTCCCCACTGTCCCCACCACTGTCCCCACTGTACCTCTGTCCCATTGTCCCACCGCCGTCCTCGCCACCGCCTTCACCACCGTCCCCACCACTACTGTACCCTCCACCGTCCCACTGTTTCCACCACATTCCCACTGTCCCCACACCACTGTCCCCAACACCACCGTCCCCACCACTGACCCACTGTTCCCACCATTGTCCCCGCTGTCCCCACCAGTGCCCCCACCAGTGTGTCAATGCCCCCACTCTCCCCACCCTTGTCCCACCACGGTCCCACTCTCCCCACTTTCCCCACGGTCCCCACCACTGTCCCACTGTCCCCACCACTGTACCCACTACTGTCCCACTGTCCCCGCCGCTGTCCCACTGTGCTGTCCCAGCGTCCCGTAGTGACCCCCCCCGGTTTTCGAGGGGGGGGGGGGGTCGAACCAATAGTGACCCCCCCTGGTTTTCGAGGGGGGGGGTTCGAACCAGTAGTGACCCCCCCTTTTCATGATGGACTGGGGGGGGAGGGGTTTGAACCGGTAGAGAACCCCCCGGTTTTCCGGAGAGGGGGGGGTCTAACCGGTAGTGAACCCCCCCGGTTTTCCGCCAGCAGCGGTAGGACACGCTCTTTCCGTGATGCCCACCAAGGGGGGCCTTTGCAGCCGCGCTGCTTATGAAATCCCGCAAGCAGCGAATCCTAGGCCTCCGAGATGCGGCCTGATCAGATGGGGTCGGAGGATCGCGCCGCATCGCCGATGCATCGGCGAGGCGGATCGACCCGCGCCGACGGCGCCGATGTGTCGCCGACGTCGCTGGTGCATCGCCGATGTATTGGTGATGCGGCGCGATCCTCCGACCCCATCTACTCGGACCCCCTTCCGCCCCCATCCTCCTGCTCCTCCTCCTCCTCCTCCTCCTCCTGCTCCTCCTCCTCCTCCTCCTCCTCCTCCTCCTCCTCCTCCTCCTCCTCCTCGTCCTCCTCCTCGTCCTCGTCCTCCCCCTAGGAGGTCTCTAGCGAACGAGCAGGCACGCCTCGCGAGCCCACGTGCCCGGCCCGCTCGGCCCCAAGGGGAGGGACATACCCCGCAGGCGCGCGCCGGGCCAGGTGCTCGGGCACCCCGTGTGCGCGGGGATGGTGGCACAGGGGCCAGGAGGCCGAAGGCAGGCGCGGGGGACACCATGCGGCCGACTCTGGAAGCCCTGTGAAGGGGCCCCGGGACGCACAAATACACACACACAAGTAACAGGACAGGATCCCCCGTATTTTCCCACATCTTCTGGGCGCTTGTCTTCCCCACCACTTCCCATATTTTCCCATATTTTCTGGGGAGTCGACGATTAATTGTGTCTGTGTGTTTTTTCCCCTCCTGACCCTTAACAGAAACATGTTACCATCTCTTGCATGTACGAAACGCCCCTCACCCCCAAGGGGAGGGGGCGCGGCTCGTGTCCCGTCACGCGAGCGAAGAAGAGGAGGCCCAAGATGGCTCGAACATGGCCCAAGACGGCCCAAGGGGCCCTGGAGAGGTCTCCAAGACGGCCTCCAAGAGGGCCTCCAAGACGGCCCAAGAGGCCTCCAAGAGGGCCTCCAGGAAGGCCTCCAGGAAGGCCCGAAGAGGCCAAAATCACTGATTTGCCATAAGTGTTTGAAGGATTTGGGTATTTGCTTCTTTTCGGCCTTCCGACGACCCGAGACGGCCCAACGGCCCCCGAAGATCGCCCCAAGATCGCCCAAGAGGCCTCCAAGATGGCCCCAGAACGGCCGAAGAGGCCCCCAAGACGGCCCCAAGAGGGCCCCAAGACGGCCCAAGAGGTTTCCAAGACGCCCAAGATGGCCTCTAAGACGGCCGTGGAGCACACCAAGGAGGCCCCAAGTCGGCCCAGAGGGGCCCCCAAGACGGCTTCCGATGGCGTCAGACGGGCCAGGAGTGCCCTAAGACTGCCAAAGAGGCCCCCAAGATGCCTCCAAGAGGCTCCCAGGAAGCTCCCAGGAGGCCCCAAGAGAGCCCCCAGAGGCTCCCAAGATGCTCCCGCCTCCTCCTCCTGCTTCTCCTCCTCCTCCTCCTCCTCCTCCTCCTCCTCCTCCTCCTCCTCCTCCTCCTGAGCTTCCCCGCCATCCTCCTCAAGTGTTCCCCCGAAGGGTTCCACGGCGGCTCGGGGAACACTTTGTTCGATAGCTTGGCAAAGCTCTGGTCACAACACTCGGCCGCATGGGCGACTCCCAAAGGCAGGGGGCGGCGGTGATTCGCCGTAGGCGTCTTCGATCCGCCGCCCCCTGTTGATTCATCACAGGGGTGCCTGGCGTGCTAAACGTCTGATTGTTCTTGGCTCTTTCGATACACTGCGCCGGCCACCCGGAAGCACCCCTAAGGCGGCCAAGATGGCCTCCAAGCTCGCCCAAGATGGTCCAAGATGCTCTCCAGAACGGGCCACGAGGGTCCAAGATGCTTCCAAGCCCGACCAAGAAGCCAGAAGGCCACCACGACGGCCCGAGCTGGCTTCAAGATGGCCGAAGACGCTCGGATACGCCCCCAAGAGGCCTCCAAGACGGCCCACGCCTCCAAGAGGGCCTCCAGGACGGACCCAAGAGGTACAAATCAATGATGCTCCTAAGGTTTCTGGATGATTGTGGCATTTGCATCTTCTCTGTCTTCCGATGGCCCAAGACGGCCCAAGAGGCCCCTAAAATCGCCCCAAGATTGCCCAAGAGGCCTCTGAGATGACCCCATAACGGCCTAAGAGGCCCCCAAGACGGCCCCAAGAGGGCCCCAAGAGGGCCCCAAGACGACCCAATAGGCCTCCAAGACGCCCAAGATGGTCTCCAAGAAGGCCGACGAACGCCCTAAGGAGCCCCAAGTCGGTTGAGAGAGGCCCCTGAGATGGTGTCCGACGGCGTCAGACGAGCCAGGAACGCTCCGAGACGGCCAACGAGCAAAGGCCCCCGAGTGGACCAGGGACGCTTCCAAGTGGCCTCCGAGAGGCCCTCAGGAAGCTCCCAGGACTCCCAAAGGAGGCCGCCCGAGTGCCCCAAGAGGCTCCCAAGGGACCTTCTCCTCCGTCCTCCTTTTCCCTCGCTCTCCTACCTCTTCCTCTTCTTCCCCCACGTGTTCCCCGAATGGCTTCCACAACGGCTGGGGGGACGCATGGTCCAATAGCGTGGACAAACTTTGCCCAAACATTTGGCCACACAGGCGTACCCTGAAAGGCAGAGGGCGGCGGTGGTTCGCCGTAAGCTTTCGACCCGCCGCCCCCTGTGGCTCGGCACAGGCCCTCGAGATCGCCCCAAGACGACCCCAGAGGCCCCCGCGAGATCCGCAAGACGGCCCAGGCGGGCCCCAAGATGGCCCCAAAAAGGCCCCAGAGACCTCCAGGACGGCCCTAAAGCGGCCCAAAAGTGACGAACCACTGCCCAGAAAGGGGCCCAAGACGGCTTTCGGAGGCAAAGAGGTCCCGTAGAGGCCGCCAGGGGCCCCCAAGAGGTTCCCAAGAGGCCCCAGGAGGCCCCCAAAAAGCCGCATGGAGCCCCCAACAATGCTCCCAGGAAGCCCTCAGGAGTCCCCAAGAGGGTCTCGAGAGGCCTCCGCCTCATCCTCCTCCTCCGTCTCCTCCCTCCTCCGTTCTCCTCTTCTCCCCAATGTTCCCCGAAGGGTTTCCACAGCGGCTGGGGAAACACATAGTCCAATAGCTTGGCCAGACACCGGTCCAACGTTTGGCCGCATGGGCGTTTCCACAAGGCAGCGTGCGCGGTGATTCGCCGTAGACATCTTCGAATAGGTGCACGCAACGCGTAAATGCCTGTACGCATATATGCATATCCTCGCACTGGAAAAAGGAAGCCTCATTTACGTTTCAACAAGGCTCAAAGCGAGATGATGCCGACATGCTCCACTGATTGCCAAACATTGTACTGCGACGGCCCTGAACACATTTTCAGTAGTTCATGCGCTTGCACTTTGTCCCCGACGCCAGGCTGACCTGCGAACGTCTGGGGCTCATGGCGGTGCGGCCGTAACGTCTGAAGTTCAGCGGCGAAAGCGCACCTGAAAATAATCCCTAAGCCAGAACAGCAGTACACAACATTCCTCATTCATCCACTTTTGTCCTGATCCTCCCCCTGGTCCCCTAAGCATCTGTTCCACTTCCTGTCATCGTACCCCCTCCTCCTCAACCTTATCATCGCCCTCATCCTCATAATCTTACTCATCCGAAACCTTCTCTTCCTCGACCCCATGCCACCTTCACATCAGCCTTTTCGCCACCCTGCTTATCCGTGCCCTCTATACCATCGCTGTACCTGGGCCCATCCTTCGGGTGATGAGGAGACTTGGGGGATGTGCGTAGCATTCGGCTTGCGCTTGGAGTCGAACCATATTCGCGACCGATATCATAATATCGGAGACAATCTTTCGATCTCCCTGTCGAACGGCCTTACTCTTTATCAATCCATTCAGTTGCCATACTACATGCATCTATCGATATCTAGGCTCTTGCAGGTGTATGACTTTCGTGGGCTGTGAGATTCTTAACGACCCGGACCACGACTCTCCTGGAATTTCAGGGGGATCTTGGGCGTTCCGCCGCGGTGGGCCACGTCGGCCTCCGGGACGGTGGCCCCGTCCAAGCCGACCCGAAGAACCTCCGAGGTTTGCGGAAAAGCGCCACCAGAGGGTCCAAGAGGGCCCCGAGACGGCCCCAAGAAGTCCCCAAGACTGCCAACGATTCCCTCTTGGCCATCCCAGAAGCTTCCAAGAAGCCCCAAGAGGGCTCCGAGTGATCCAGGGGCCCCTGAGTCATAGCGGGAGGCAGCGTCTCCCTGCAGAGAGATTATGATGATCAAGACTGTTTCATCCGACGACATTTCCCAAGCAGACTTCCCGTGCAACCATCTGTTGGCACTGGTAGCGGAGCAGCTGCTGGCCCCCGCTGGCCGCCATACCACCTCCCGCCGCGGGCGGACCCTCCTGCTGCAGCGGCCGCCATGGGCTGGCAGCAACAGGAGCACCAGTCGCAAGCGGGTGCACACGCCACGGGCGCCACTCCCCCAAGCAGCGCCGACGACGCTGAATATGCTGCCACAGGGTGGCTAACTGGACACGCTGGTGGCGACCCAACACACAGTGGCGGGATGACGGGGGAAGAGGGCTAGACACAGGCTTCAGCAAGACGATACCGAGTTTCGAGTTGGTGGAGTCGGAGGGCTATCGGCTGTTCCAGCGGAGGCTCCAGATCTTCGAGCGGTGCTGCAAGAAGCGCGGACTCGCCGCAAAAAGTGACGGAGCGTTCCTGGTGCTCAACTCTCTCAAGTCAATCCCACGGGGGTGCCGCCAGTCCTCAAGCGGGTTCCTGCTTTGGCCTCATGGGAACCAAGAGACAGGAGAAGAGCACCACGGATTCGCGTCCACTCGAATCAAGCAACAAACATCATCTGCCGCGACTGCCAGACACCTGGCAGTCACAATACTTGAGTGCACGAGGAGGGATCCGCACATGTCGAAGTTCAAGCATGGCAGCTTGGCGCACAAGCTTCTGCGACACCTGGAGCCTCGCGCGCGAGGCCGCCCCCCTCATCATTTCGCGCTTCCTCCTCCTCCTGTTCGGAGGGTCCTCAGCCGCCATGTCCACCTCCCCCTGTCTCTCCTCCACCTGCTCCATCACCTCCGAAGTGCCACCCGTCACCTCGAGCGGAACCTCCTCCAACGTAGCCTCGGAAAAAAACACGGGGGGGCCACATCCTCGGCCCAGCGGAATAGCTCGCGCACGGATACGCGGACCACGCCGTGCCCCCCTGCATTAAGAAGGGCTCGGCGAGCGCGCCAGCGCACACTAGAGGCATCGATCGCCCACGACCCACCTGCCTCCTTCCCACGCCAACAAATCCTGGCCAACTGCTTCCATCCCCCCTGCGGATATACTAGACGGTGGCCCTGTCTGCCGCGGCGCCCTCATGGGCATGCAAGAACCCGGCGCAGACTATCGCGTACCTGTGAAACTTCTTTTTCCAAGGAATAAATCTGAGCCGATAGTACTTGCGATCCGACCTGAGGGCGCTAACGGCATTTTGCGCACGGCACATCACATCGAAATGCCCCTCGAAAGCGCTGCTGATCTTATATCCCAAACGGACCACGGAGTCTACATGCTTGAGGGCATAGCTGGGCTGGCTCAGGACCTCCAAGGGGAGCAACCGACGAGCCTCAGGATCCACCAAGACGACCCCAACTCCACCACGTTTAGGGGGCTCTCTTTGGGGCTCCAAACCAGGGGACAGCACATGGATCCACATGTCGGTCGGTTCAATCAGCACATGTTCATGTACTCCCAAGCTTCTGGGCTCCCACCTGAAACCAAACATCTGTACACATCCTGTCACGTCCATGATCATATCACTCAACCGGCAAGAGTCCCCGCCAACAACACAACGTTATCCGCCCATACAAAGTGCGACACCATCAGATTGCCAGCTTCTCTGGGAAAGCGCCGCATCCATATGAGCACGAGACCAGCGCAGGCAAGGTTCACTGAATATCACTGGCAAGCGCTCGACACTGCAGTGAACAGAGGCGGGCCCTCAAGAGACCCTGCCTTAATCGAGCTTGTCCACGGCAAAGTGTCCGTCTCAACCTCCTGGAAGCGGAACGCGGCCGACGCGCCAACGAAATCCTGGACGAGTGTGCACGAAAGACACGGACCCAACTGCAACTGATCGAGGGCGTCGTCGGCCCTTTCTACAGTCAAAGTACCAAACGCATTCTCAATGCCCACCGTGGCCATCAACATATTTTCGGATTCTTCAACAGATGGGCACGTCTGCATACATGGCGAAGCCCAGCCGTAATATCACGGCATCTTCTCCCTCCTGGAAGATGGCTTTTTGCTGTTGACGATCAGCCACCGCATGGGCAGATGGGCCGCAGGCTAAATTTCTCACGCACGGGGGGGCCTGCCAGTCGCAGGACCACCACCACTCCCTTTGGGAGCTGTCGGCAAGCTTCTAGCTCGGCGGCGGTTGTCGCGCAGGAGGCAGGAAGGAGAAAGAACCAGTAAGCAACAGTAAGGCACCAGCCTCTGGAGTAAGCATTAGGGCAAGTGGGAGTCTGCACACGGATTTCCCTACACCACCCTCAGCCGACGCCAACACTGAATCTGCCTCCATCGGAGAATCCGCGGACGGCAAGGATCAGATTTGCAGAGTCTCGCACACAAGAAAGGAAATCCTCACCAACTACATTGTCACAAATGCCCTTGCGGGCTCTCCAAGACAACTCATCAGCACGTGCATTTCCTTCGCTGCATATCACCTTGAAGATTGGACGGCCGAAGTGCGGAGACCTACCACCACAAGATTCAGCAAGAAAGCATGATGTTTCCTGCAGGTTACCAGTCCTCTCAGCATATGTTTTGGTCGTCGCATTGTTAGGCCCCTCAGCCCATGTGATCACACCATTGTGGACCCCAACAAACCCGATACCAATCAATCCCTCAACGAGCCCGCAGCAGGTAGCACAAAACTGGAGTACACGAGCAGGGAACCGCACTTGGTCGCGGTTCAAATCCGGCAGCTGGGCGCACAACATTCCGCGTCATCGGGCCCCTCGCACAATTGGCCGCTTCCCTCACCATCTCGATCTAGCTCGTGCAGGAAGAGATACACCACGCCGGGCCTCGATTGATTAAACAAGGCCTGGCGGGCACAGTGGCGCACACAAGAATGAAAGATCGCCCGCGACTCACCTGCCTTTTCCCCAAGCCAACACATCCCTCTGGATATACTGGACGGTGGTCTTGTCAGCCGCGACGCCCCCAAGGGCATGCAAGAACTTGACTCGAACTCTCGCCTCGTACCTCTGACACTCCTTAGTCCAAGGGATACGTCTGCTCTGATCGTACTTCCGATCCGACCAGAAGAAGTGAATCGCTTGCTGCATACGGTGATATCACATCAGAATGCATCAAAATGCCCCTATCGTAAGTGCGGCTGGTCCTACACCCCAGGAGGACCACAGAGTCTACATGCTTGAGGTCATAGCTGGACTGGTTCAGGACTCCAAGGGGAGCAACCAACGAGCCTCAGGATCCACCAGGACGTTCCAAGTTCTATCACGTTTACGGGGCTCGCTCTGAAATCTCCAAACCAGGGGGCAGCATATGGATCCACACGTCGGCCGGTGCAGTTCTGAACGTGTTCATGTACTCCAAGCTTGTGGGCTTCCACGCGAAGCCAAACACATGTACATATCGCGACATGTCTATGATCACATCACGCAAATGGTCACGCGTATCCGCCAACAACACAACGTGATCCGCCCATACAAAGCAGGACACAGCAATACGGCCAGCTTCACCAGAAAGCTTCGCACAAAATTTCCACGAGACCATCGCAGGCAAGGTGCACAGAACATCAGCGGGCCCTCAAGAGACCTCGTCTTCATCGAGCTCGCCCACTGCAAAATGTCCGCCTCAACCTCCTGGAAGCGGACTGCAGCCGACACGCCGGGGGAACTATCGAGGGCCGACAATCACATTACCGAAAGCAAGATCAACATCCATCGCGGCAATCAACATATTCTGAGCGTGACCCCAAAGACGGGCATGCTTACATACATGGCGAAGCCCAGCCGTGATCCCACGGCATCTCCTTCCCTCTGGGAAGCCGCACAGATGCATTCCAACAGTGGGCGGGACCAGACCAAGAGCGGCACCGAGAAGACACATCAAGCATCCAACATACAACTCAGACACAAGTGGATTCGATGCCAATGTCCGCGTCTCCGAAAACTCAACGACACGACCCGACTTAGGGATCAGAGCGGCGATAGTCGCTTTCCAACTCGAGGCCAGCTCTAATGGACACTCGTTAATACTGGCAAAGTCGGGCCACAACAATCAATCCCTTCCAACTCAAATGCTTAACTACGGTCGCAGAACTCCCATCAGCACCAACCACACGGCCAACTTTGAGACGAGCGCGGGGCCTGCACACTACATTCAAACGGATAGAGTCCAGTGGCTCATGCAATCGGGCGCGGTCTTCCGCCCGCTTCTTCAGTCGAGTCAGATCAAACCCGACAAGCAGGAATACGGTCACCCATCACACGATCACAACACTTGCCCGAAATATGCTTAGTAAGGCAGTGGACACACTGTTCTTAATTATCCGTCAGCCCCCTGTCAACATTCACCGAGTTCATGACAGCACGAGGTTTAGCCCCATCACGAAAACGATACTCAAGAGTACGACGGCGAAAACCTCCCCGAACAGTATTCCACATCCTCCTACTCATGGAACGCGTGAAACTGAACTTCCCCTCTCTTCCATTGCTTGCGTAACCGATCGTGGTGGTCCCTAACCTCTCTCTCCCCTTCATTATCTTCAGGCTGGCCTTAGCCGACACGCACTCATGCAAGCTCGGGTCCGCAGTCGCACCCTCCTCACAACGATACTCCTAATCCTCGCGAGAAGCCGCCCTGCACCTCGCACGGAAAACGCAACGGCCTTCCCCCCCCCTCACGTCCACCTTCCTCTTCCCCCACCATATCTCGTTTACCTGAGCCCACTTCTCCACATTAACGAGTTTCACCTCCAGAACCATCCTCTGCTGGACTCCCCCCCTGCTACTTCAAATACACGGCATATCATCCTTGCGAAGGGGGGTCCCTGGGGCACCTAAACACCAGCAGCATAGAATCACTCCACCGCTGAGAATCCTGCACATCCACGTCGATCTCCGTCGGGCTTCGTCGGGGCGCGTCGAGCGCCGTCGGGATTCGCCGGGCTGCTAAAGCTTCTACCCGAGCAAAGAAAATTACGCTTTCAAAATATTTGTCCAGGCTGTAGACTGGCGCGTTCGACGCTGCTGAATCAGTCGCAGCCGAGAGCTCTGAAGCTGATCTAAATCTCTAGCTGGAGCAGAACACCGCAAAGCAGCAAAGCAGCTGCAGAGTGACATTCGCTGTTCCATCATAGCTTGAATAGCAGAGGG